CATGGTTGGATTCAAACCTACAACCTTTGTGGTATCCAAAACCATTAGCCTGTTTGATGTTTACACATGATAATTTGTTACAGTTACTTTCTGTAAAACAGTACCAATGGAGATAAATATAAAGAATATTCAAAAGACTGTGTAATATAACATTTTACCCATTACAGTGTTTTTTTTTTTAATCTACAACGATGGTTCTCAACTTTTTGTAATCCAAGGCCCTCCCTTTGTACAAGAAAATATTCATTTATGGCTCACATATCTAGTCTGATTTGTACCCCTGAGACTTCTGTTTTAATAATAATAATAAAAATGTTTGTGTTATTTAGATTGTTAGTTTGTGTTTTTAGCATTTATTTAAGATTATTAATATACATTTATTTGACTTATTTTTGACTAGTTAAGAATCACTGATCTACAACATGTCCAAAATTCTGTTATGCATTTTAATCATTGCATTGGTCATTCCATCCAGGTTCCCTTGTCGAACGTTAGTGAAGTCCAAAATTCTATCATGGAGGAGCTGAACAACCTGGGATTCTTCAAAGAAAATTCCCAAAAGCTGATGGAGCGCAAAGTGAGCTTTGAGAAACGGGACAAGAAAATGGTATGATTACAAATGATAATATGGTTAAACCCATATTGCTGTTAAGGTCTCAGAGTTGAGTGTAAAATTCTCTTCAGGTCCCAGAGATCCTCAGACAGACAGAGGAGCACAGAGCCTGGCTCCTGGAAGAGTATGCAGTGGATCGGCTCTATCAGCTCAAGCGGAACTGCAATGCCTGTCAGGAAAAAGACATCAGCCTGCTGGAGGGGGAGCTGGTGGCCCTGCTGGAAGACAAAGACCCAATGGGCAGCAGCAGCCGCTGGCTGGTACACACTGGGAGTAAGTTTGTTTACTTGTGTTTAAATCATAGACTGTAAAAAAAATATGGAAAATCGTCTGTGACGAAGAACAGTTGTGAGGCTGTTTATGGGGCGCGTATGTATCTTAGAAAATACAAAATACAAATGTTCAGGATACAGAGGTGGTATGATGTGTTGTGTCAGATCATGGCCGAGACGTCAAATTCCATTCGGCGCAGCCCGTTATCAGCTGTCAATGAAAGTTAACCGCCCTTATTTGTCATACATTTTATATCTAAATACGATCTAAACTAACGAGTTAGAAATAAATTCACCCCCCTCACAGTTGTCAGGCACTCGGAACCTATCGAAAAATACAATAAAAGTCCATGGAACCAAACTCTAACGATATGAATTTATGCTGTGAATACGGACATTTTTACATGGGGTCTATATTTGCTCCCTTTTGGAATCTCCCTCTGGCGGATTTTAGATGTATTGCAGTTTTCGCACTTCGGGTAGGCTTCATTTTTCAGATTAGAATGTTGCCGCTTATTGGTTTAAATACACTATCCTTTATTTTCAGAAAAAAAGATGTATAATAATGCACAGCATATAAGAAGGAAGTTTTAAATAGGCTATTGATAAGTCAAGTACACTGCCATCAATTGTGGCTGCAGAAAACGTTTCTTATTATTATCACAGTTGTGTTAGGCTAAGGCTACTAAATATTTTTGTAAAAAAAAAAAAAAAAACATTAGATTCCCCCAGTCTTCATGTGAAATAAAGAAAACAGTTACAAACTGAAACAGGAAGTGTTTCTGGACCAGTGTTGTTAAATGGTCTATATATATATGAATGTAATGTAATGTTCATTGAATGGTTATGGCACAAAACTAAACACATTTCTTGGTAAAACTTTACAATAGGGATCTGTGTTAACTTGTTGATGCAGTAGTAGCTGTCATTACATTAAAATGTACTTTCATAGTTTTAAAGCTAATGTTCATTTCTTCTTAAATTAATATATTTAACATTGTATTGCATCAAGTTAAAATTAACATTAACTACTATTATGAATGAATAGGAATTAACAATACATACACATACATATACATGTACAATATGTAAAAATTAGCCAAGAATAATAAATTCTGTAACAAACAGTTGTTCATTGTTTGTTAATGATACCTGAATGGATAAACAAATTGAATTTTAATTTAAAGTGTAAACTGTTTTTTTTTATGTTTGCTCACACTTACGCTATTAATTCACATGAGAGTTCCCTGCTGAAAAATCCAGCTAAAACCAGCCTAGGCTGGTTGGCTGGTCTTAGCTGGTTTAAGCTGGAAGTAGCTGGTTTTAGTTGGTCACCCAGCCTGGCTTAGCTGGTCAAGCTGGTCTCCCAGCCTGGCTACCAACTTGACCAGCTAAGACCAGCCTGACCAGCTGAAAAAGTGTTCAAAACCCCTCTAAAACCAGCCTGATAAACCAACTAACCAGGCTGGGAGACCAGCCAAAACCAGCCAACCAGCCTTGGCTGGTTTTAGCTGGATTTTTCAGCAGGGTTTATACTTGTAAACACAATTTATTTACAGTAGACACCAACTAAAGCATTAATAAGGCTGGTGGAAATGTTGTATGCACCCTACCTATCTGCTGTTGAACTTCATAACCTTACAGCATAGAGTAATGAAATCCCGTAAGGATTTTCTTTCATCACATGTCTATAAACTAGCCTCTCATTAACTCCACAGAGACTGTTGCTTCACAACAGGACCATCATTCTTGTTATCTCAGGTGATCAACATGTCTGTTATCAACTACGGAAAGGAGTTTCAGGTCATTGGGGGATAAAAAACTGACTGGAAGTAAAAAAAAAGAGTTCATCCACTAAAGCCCTTGAAATCTTTAAATATTACAAAAAAGAAAAAGAATGTTATGCACCAAGTTTGTTACTTCTATCCTTCAGACAGCTCATTCAGTTAGTTTGAGGTCTGAAACTGATCTGTCTGCCGAAAGCTGCCATTCTTTTGCTCTTATTAGGCTCCTGCTGTTGATAATGACATTTCTCTTTCTCTTTGTGTATGTGTGTGTGTGTCTGTGTTTAGTTACGCAGGGCTATGTGTACTCCTCATTCCTAAAAGCCTACAACCCCCAACGAGAGGTGACTGAGAGGCCAGATGACTTTGACAATCTGAGTCTGTTTGTCTCGGGCAGCAGGAGCAGTAGTATGAGGAGCTTCAGTCCGAACAGCACTTCAGACAGTGTGTCCCCTCAGTCTGGACCACAGGACGAGCCGGACCACTCTGAGGACAAATATGTAAGACACATGGAAAGTGTGTGTGTGGTACACAAGACTTAAAGGATATTTAATCAGTTTAACACATTCAAGTGTGCCGTTGTTCCAAATATCAGCACTGGTGATGCACTGAAATTTTGCCAGCTGAAAATATTCACCCGAAACAGCAAAAAAAAAAAAAGCATATCTGAACTCAGATGGTTGTAATTAGAGAATGCTTTGAAATACAAACCTAAGGTTAAACTTTTTTAAAAACAAGTTATTGCAGAAGTAAAAGCAGTCTCAAAAAATTAAAGTGTAAAAAAAAGTTATAATAGTGTACGTTTATTGTAAAGCAAAATGTACTAATCTAAATCTTTTTGTTTTATACAAAATATACATTTTACAATATATGTACTCTAAAATTTCTAGAAAATCAAAGCCTTATTATCTAACCAAGTTGTGATGATGTTTATATCATACAAATTGAAATATTTTTGATGATTTATGATGATTTCTAAAATATGTGATAAGGAAAAAAGGCAATTAAAAAGTGCAGCAAATGTACATTGACAGTTAACAGGTTTCTCTGATGATAAGTTTTCATGTGAAAGTGTCTATTTCGAGCACACAATATGGATAAGCAACAATCAGCTGTGTGGACAAGCTTTTCCGGGTAGTACAGAAATGCATATATCGGATTTGTGTCATTTTTAAAAGATGATTTAAGCTGGTTGTCAACAAACAAACAAACTCAGAAATAGTCAAGAAATCAGAATTGGTTTGTCAAAACATTTGTCTTGTGATGGGTTGAAGTATAGGCGATGATACTACTGAATAATCACTGAATATCATATTAATATTTTGTTTGTCAACATTACCTTGGCTATAACATTAAAAGAGAAAATAATTGTTTCAGGAGGCAGAAAGTTTGTCATTTTGATGAAAGATTAAGACTTTTTTTTTTTTAGAGTAAGATAAATAGACCACTGGAGTGAATGGGCCGGAGTAAATCAAATTTATATTGTGAATGGGATAGACAGCGCCATCTACTGGTCATATGTCCCAGAAAGGCTCTACGAGGACAAATTGATTTTCAGATACAGTACTGTTATGTTGGAATAAAGTGTTTTTTTTTTTGTTTGTTTTTTTGCTGTTTCAAACTAAAATGACACCTGATCTCTAAAGTACAGTTTTCCTGTTATGAGACTGTGTTGTTGTCAAGCTGAATGATATAAAGACAATAACAACAAGACACTAATTTTACTTCTCTTTTTATCTGCAGTTCTATGCAGTTTATGCATTCCAAGCACGCTGTGAACAAGAGCTCACGCTTCAGGAGTACCAGCATGTTCGTATCCTTCAGTTTTCAGACCTCGGTGGTAACAAAGACTGGTGGCTCGCTGAATCTAATGGACAACGTGGCTACGTTCCAGCAAACTACCTTGGAAAGATGTCATATGCCTGAAACTATTTTTTATGTCTCTATTAATATTTTTATTTTAAGGGAAAAAAAATATGAATTATAAATTAATTGCATAATTAATTATAATAAATTAATTAATTAATTATAAATTAATTGAAGGCCAATACCGCACAAATATTTTTGCACTACATGATGCTACCAACAGTGTTTACTTGAACTATATAAAAAATGTTATGGACAACGTGTTGCTAATTAGAAGAAAAAAAAAGTTTAACTATTTGTATATAGTTATATTAATATAATATATATATATATAAATCTTATGTGATTATTAAATTATTTATAATCATGCAAATGACCTTGTCTGTTTTTTATGGTTCATTAAAATAAGCATTTAAGTCATTCTAAAAAAGGTTAAAAATTACAAGATTCTATTTTTTTAAAGTGTTATTTATTGAACACATAAAATGAGCAGCTTGTTTTCAATAATGTGAATGGTTTAGAAAGAATGAGGCACATCTTCAAACCAAACCGCTTCAGAAAGACCAGAAACATTCAAGTATATGATTTAAAAAAACAGATTTGACTTGCTGTTTAACATAACAGTTTGGCTTCGTCTGACTCATTTCTTCAGTTTCTTCTGCGCTGCTTTCTTTTTCACCATCTGCAGGCGTTTCATAGCATTGAGCTGAGACTCCTGAGAAGTGGGCGTCTTGCCATCAGCTGAGGCTTTTGCTCCATTGCTGCTGTTATTGTTGTTGCCGCTACTGCCAACACTATTGCCCCCGTTGCCCCCTCCATTGCCTCCGGACCCACCGTTGCCTCCCAGGCTGCTAGAGGGTGCCGCCCCAGGTGACAAAGATCCAGTCACAGTCATTTTTCCCAAGCTATCGCCACTGGCTGAACGGCTCAACACTTGTTTGCCAAGTGTGAGTGGAGGGGGTGGTTTCATAGGTACAGTGCTGGAGCCATTGTTCCCATTACCACTTCCACCACCGCTGCCTGCTGAAGGTTTATTAGCTAGACCTGGCTTAACATTGGCCAGTGCAGAGAGACCTACAGGTTTAGAGCCTGAGGGAGGTGGGGTTGATTTACTGCTACTTGGCTGACTGGTGCTCAACTTGGTACTGGAAGGTCCTACATTCGAGGTCTTGGTAAAGGCAGCCCATCCAGTAAGGCCTTGGGGCAAAGATGAGCTACTGCAGGAGGCGTTTCCTGATGCCGCAGGCGCCTGGACAGAAGAAGAAGAAGAAAAAAAGTACTTAATGAGACTTCATAAAGGACATTATACATTGGCGTACTGATCTCTTCTGATCTCATGCCTTCCTCACAGTGTATAAAAAACACAGATAACTATAGAACTGGATGTTTTCACCAAAAAAGTGCACATCAAATACACTTAATTAACATAGAAAGCACAGTGCAATGTTAGATACTCCATGCACAACTGTCCTTAGATACTGAAGGGTGAGGAGCTGTCAGACCTATCAATGGCCTATCGATGTTGGATGAAAAAAAATAACCTTATAAACTCCATGTGTTAAATGGTAGAGTGCTAAGTACAGTCAGTGTATAGTGAAGTACATTTCTTCAGTTTCTTCTGCGCAATTCTTCTTGTATAGTGAAGTAGTGAAGTGTATAGTAAAGTACAGTTAGTGTGTAGTAGATTTATCCAGCATTTATATTTAAATAATTACTGACCATTACATTAAAGCCAGCTTGTGATTTTTCACAAGGGTTTAAGGGATAGTTGACCCAAAAATGAAAATTCTGTCACAATTTACTCGCCCTCGTGTCGTACCAAACCTGTAAAACTTTCGTTCATCTTCGAAATAATGTTTTATTAACAAACTTCGGGAGGAGCACGCGGAGAGAATTAACACGAGAGAAGAGCACTCAGCAATCAACGAAGAGAGGTATGCTGTATATACCCAGCGGTCTCACCTCGTTGCATTGGCAGTTTTACAGCATCCCTCCACCGCCCTTTTCTCCTCACTTCTTGTCATAAGCATTAAAACATTGTCCGTCTGTTCGCTTCATTTCACTGAGGATTGTTTTGTAAACAAGACTGGATTTGCAGACCGATTAAAATTAAAGAACGTTGCTGTGCCGTCTATATTGGATTAGGGATGTCCCGATACCACTTTTTCACTTCCGATACCGATGCCGCAGATTTGGCTTTTGCCGATACCGATATTAATCCGATATTTTTATTTTATTTTTAAACTAATCAAAAATATAGCAATTTTCTCAATTAGCCCCTTAAAACATACCTCCAGTATATAGTTCACAACAACAGTTGATTATGAAAGATTGCCACCCTTTATTCAAACACTACAATATATATATATATATATATATATATATAAGAAAATGCAGGTACTTAAGTACTTAAAGCTAGCTAGCTACCAACAGGTTTAAAGTTAAAACAATTTAAAACAGCATTTCTATAATGCTACAACAATTCTACATTGTAAATACCAGTAGTTTTTTTTAAAGCAAGTAGAATTTCTCTAACTCTGTGTTAAACTGATTATCACTCTTGTGTGTGTTAAACACAATCTACTTAATACAGACAGCTTCATTATAAAGATAAACAACAAATCCCCAAAATATATGATCATAATCTATGACAAAAAATGCTATTATAAACTAGATTAGTGAATAATACATATTGCTCTTTGTATTGTTGTAAAATACATTCATGAAAAACAATATAACAAAAATGAAAAAGAATTACTTTAGATATAGGCTAGCCAAGGCTACTAAAAATTGAGACATGTTTTAAGTGTATAGCACAGCTATTTAATGAGGCAGCAACATTAATAATTATTAATGTTAAGAAGCTTTAATTGCGTCACTGCATTATGATATGAATGACTCCAACACAGTGCGGCACAAAGCGCTTATGCGCATTCCGAGCGCAGAATGATGCGCTTGAAAGCACGTGGAGTAACAGCACGCAGCCGAGTATGCACCCTATGCATGCTGTGCGTCGAGTCCGCTTTGAAAAGTTCAAAGCACAAAGGAAATACATATTGATGGAAGGACAGTATATTAAACAGTATCCATCTATACAATAGTTTATTGAGCCTTTTCTTTAAACAGTTTTAAATTTCAGTTACTGTGCGCGTGAAGAACAATAGTGCTCTGACTCTAGTGTTGTGATCTAATCGACAGCGTCCGACACCTGGTAGAAAGTAACACGATTAAGTTACAGCAATAAAGTCCAGCAAGATAATGTTGTTTTATGCGTAAACATAGACCTTTATCTACAGATAAAGTATAATAGTATTAACATTGAATCATCTTGAAGATAGTTTCATCATTGACTGTAACCGAACGCGACGCGCTGTTTGAGTGCTGAATGGAGAATGATTGACAGCCGCGAGAGGGAAAAGTTTACGTGATCTTGAATTTAATGACTTAAATATTAATTTCTCTCTCACATAATGGCTTCAGAACACTTATAATAGAGTGCACGAAAACGTCATGGTACTTTAGAATGTTTTTGTGCCTTCTGTGGAGCTTAACAATAACATAATAGTATACGCACAATATCGGATTTGGATCTGCTTCGTCTGATCGATACCCGATCCCGCAAAAATGGCTGGATCGGAGCCGATACCGATCCTGAGTATCGGATCGGGACATCCCTATATTGGATCTGACAGGAATTGTGCAACACACGGACTCTGGGTCGAACATGTATGGGCAAATCATTCCGCTTGCCATTTTCAAAACAATTTCCCCCATGTGCACCGAAGGGTGAGTCGAAACTCATTATAATCCAAAACTGTTTAATTCCAAGTCTTCAATGCGAGACGCCCATAAAAACCGAGCGTTTTTGAGCTAGGCTCAAAACTAGGGTAGAAAATAGCGTATTACTTATTCATTTTAATGTTTTTGAATGCAAAATCCAAGCGAACGTCATAAGTTGACCTCAGACAACGATATAATAAAATTTAAAAAGCCAGTTCATGACCCCTTTAAGATCAAGATTTGGACTAAGCAGCTTGATTCATACAGATTAGTTTTTGAACTCATTAACTTTTTTTGAAGCAACAAATTGGTAGTTGCGTAGCTGTCAGCGGAAGAAAACTCTCAGATTTCATTTTAAGCATCTTCATTTGTGTTTCGAAGATGAATGAAAGTCTTACAGGGTTGGAATGATATAAGGGTGAGTAATTGATGACATTTTTTGTGTGTGTGTGAACTAACCATTTGTTCAATTGACACAGGTAGTTTGAGTTTGAGACCCCTGGTCTATAATCTCTACTGGTGTGTGAATACACTCACCTTCACCTCTGTTCTCTTAAAGGCCTGGAATGAACCAGTTGTTTCAGGTTTAGGCTTTAGTTCAGCTTTCTTCACTAGTGGATCTTTCAACATAGGTACAGCTGTTGCCAAAGTAGGAGCTGGTTTTTGTGGAGGCTTCTGAGTCTTTTGGGCCTGAGACATTAAAAAAAAAAACATCACATTGAGTGTTCCTACTACACTGTAAAAAAATATATATTTCGACAAATATTATTTTTGTTTTACAAGAAAATACTACTTCAGTCTTTCTACTTCAAAATGTCACGTTAATTCAATATTACTTGCCGTTTCTTTGTGAAATATATTAGCAATTTCTGAGTTTTTCAGTGGATTATATAAAATTTCAGTAACGCTTCCTTTTACAGTACTGTACTTACATGTACTTATGTGTACTTACCAAGAAAGTATTGGCTAATATGGTTAGTACATGGGTTAGGGGTAGGTTTAGGGTTAGTACCTAGTTATTACCCTGTAATTATAATTACTATAATAAGTACATAGTAAGTACATGGGTAACAGGACTGTAAAAGGAAGCGTTACCGAAATTTCTTATTGTCATAACTTGTCATATAATTCTCACCATTCGTTTCATTTGCCGGGTGCATCGAGCACAGTACCACACTAGCCGTGGGTCATTGACATCCTTGTCAGTAACTTGAGGTTTGTGACATTCCTGATGATACAGATTATGACACTCTTGACACTCCACTAGCTGATTGCCAGAAGTGACTGTCATTTGCCTGAGAGGAAACAAAGCTGGATTAATTTCCCACATAATGTCATGTGAAAAAGAAAGCACACACTTTTGAATTATATGGTATTATGTATCAGGGCATAGTTAAAAAAAAAACCCATCAGTTTTTAAAATTAAGTAAATACAACCTCAGATGAAGAAATGAAGAACACGTTCCATTATATCATGTCATTATTTATTTTTTTAAAAATGGAGACGTGTGACAAACTAAATCCACTCTATGATTTAATAGCTTGTAGAACCACCTTTAGCAGCATTATGACTATATGACTTTATCAGTCTCTCCCATCGTTGTGAATAATGAATCATCTTTGCTGTAGAATGATGGACTTTAAATAGTTTGGATCATTGCTGATATTTTTCCTTCTTGGCATTAACACACATCTGAATACTCTACAGCAGCAAACTGCCAAAACTTCTGCTTTTATAGAGGTGATCACGTTTGCTGATAATCAATGAATCAAAGACATCTGAATAGCAGCGCCTGACTCCTACTAACTTATCCTCTTAATTCCTATGGAAGCAATAAGAGTGGACTTAGTTTGTCACACATTAGGGCCTAGTTTTTGTTAAATAAACAAAGACACGGTGTAATACGTCATGTGTTGTTCATCTGGGATTGTATTTACCTAATTTTGAGACCTGCCAAGGACCAGATGATTTTTTTTATTATGTCCTGGTGCAATACATAAAACGGTTTCCTTTTTTTTCACATGACTATAAATTCTCATCAACAGCGACATGAGACAAATACAATTCCAAAAGAAGTTTATCAAATATACTGGCAAAGCAATGTCAAAAAAAAAAAAATAATAACACTAATATTATTTAATATTGATAAACTTTTCTATATATTGTTTTATACCCTATTATAGTAAGTATTATAAATTTGAATTAGCCTTTGTAGGGTAAGTTTTAGTAATTTTGTACTTTTTATTTTAGTTTTGGTCAGAGACTGAAAAATATGGACATAGTGTCCGTGAAGTCACCCGTAAGTGAAGAGAATTTTTGAAGCACAAAGTAGGCAGTGCCAGCCGTGGCCATCTTGGTAGCGTTTATATTCGTTTATCTGGGAGTGCGTCACCAAACCAGTAACCTTCTGGTAACCAGGCCTTAGTTATATCACACCAGTTATATCACTTAGTAGAATATCACACCAGGCCGGTGTGATATTCTACATTACTCACCGACAAACAACACAAGCAAGACCCATTTCCATGGCAAAGTCATCAGCGTTGGTTTCATCTATGTCTGTGAAATCTGGGATGGGAATGTCCTTGGTCTGAAAAGCAATCGGAGCGGGATGACTGTCCTGCTTTTCCACACGAGGTTTTTTAGGTGGCTCTGCTCCTTCTCCAGGATCAACCCTAATCTAAATATCATCATGAGCTTTTATTAGGATGAGCTTTTCAAGTTATGTCATATTTACAATAATAAATAGTGCAAAAAACCTTTTCCAAAGATCTTTTCTCGCTCTCCTTTTTGGTCTTCTCTGAGCTGCTTGATTTACTGCTGCTGCTGCTGCTGCTGGTGATGGATGACGATGACGATGAACTGGAGGAGGATTTGGAGTCTGGTTTGGTCATTTTTGGTAATGACACTTTGCTCACTTCGGCTTCCTGATAAATGGAAAATGAGACACGAATTAAAACATCTAATAATTAGATTTCAAACATAAAAATACCTCTGTGATTTGATCACCTTCAGTGATGTCCTATAGATGGAGTCACTGCCCCTGGCTAAAGACTCATCCAGCAGGGTCTTAAGTTTCTCTGCTGAGTCTTTGCTCTTGGAGTGAAGGTACCCCAGTCCCTTCAGAAAGATGGGGTCTAGCTCTAGACTTACTGTTCCAGCCATTGCTTAGCAGTTATTATAAGACTTTACATAAGACAACGAATCAGCCCTCTATCTAAGAAAATGAATGTGGTGTATACACGAATAACACTAACGTTAGATCACCCACATTTCTGTCTCGTACAATCTCTAGGATTTTTAGGATAAACTAAGCAACCTGAAACGATTGACTCGAGATTTACGTCTTCCAGCGTTTGACTAAAAAACGTTTTATAAACAGTAGAAAATATTCTTCTTAGCACTGGTTAATTAAGTTTACAATGAGTAATTTGCAGCTTGAAATGGTCTGACTGCCTTCCTATACCTAATAGAAATAGAACGAGTAGAAATCGCTTGATAAAATAAGGATATCTTAAATGGGAGGGGCTTAGCAGCAAGACTTTTGTCTCCATTTCGTCAGATGGATCCATTTTCAGTTATTCTATCTTCTAATAAACACATTTCCTCAGTATTGTTAATTCAAGTCAATATTTAGAAAATTATAACTGACAAAATTATTGTCCAAGTAAATGCTGAAGCAACACGTGCACGGCTTTGTCACATGATAGTTGTTACTTTTCTTACCGATGACCGTTTACTAGATTGGGATTATTTAAACACACACAAAAGGAGAGTTTAAACACACACAAAGGGAGAGAGAATTACGTTTGCGGGAATCATGAGGGGGTCAGACAATATTACTTGGAATAAATTGAATTCAATTATTATACTTCAGTGTAGAAATTTCTCTAACAAGACAAACAAGAAACAACACTTGAGATCTGAACGAGCCTCACTGGAGTACCGGGTATCCTGCTTTGTGAGCCATCAAGTGCCCCCTGTAGGACGAACCATTTATAGTGATATCTGTAGTCTAGTCTCATATTTCTCTCTGATGACGCATTGTGTTTCTTTTAAAACATACCGATATAAGAGATGCGTTTCAACTATCATATTCAGCCACAACACCCGCACAAAAGATATCAACTTCCAAATGATTTATAAATAGCACTGTATAAACAGTTATTCACAAATTAAAAAAAAAAAAAAACAACGACAACAAAATGGGATCGTGTCAGTGAATTTAAAAATCAAATGGGTCGGACAATAATAATTGTAACACAAGGAAATGCTACGTAGTGCGTAGAATTGTCATATCTTCGATGAAATGGGTCAGTAAAGTCTTATGATGAGTTCGTAAAACCCTGTTCTCATATAGCCATCTAAGGCTATTTATTTAAAGACAAATCGTGTCGATTATAGCGTTGTTGACACAGGAGTCGGAGGAATGCGTTGTTGGAGCGTCATAATTGTGCTGTCGAGTGTAAGAAGCTGATTGGCTGTTGCCAGTGTGACGGGGGTTCTTGTTCCAGATCGCAGGGGTTAGACAATAAGGATCCAAACAGCAGCATTTCCATTAATATCACAGCATATATGGAATTTTTCTCTCAGTGATTTCAAGCAGCTGGCGCTGACATACACACACAACTGTTATAATTATATGAAACGACTTAATAATTATTCTTAATTATATAATCACGTAGATAAATCAAATAAATCCCAGAAAAGGTAAGTGTCTCAAATATATCAACCCTAAACCATTTCAGTTAATTTCGACCTGCTTCATTTTTCTCTACGTTAGTCTTAACAGAAATCGATCAGAGATGTTATAATTCTATATCTTTTTTTATTATTTCGTATAGATAATGTTGATTGCATGGCATTAATGACAGATATCAAATAGTAAAGTTGAAAGATTTTTTGTCATTGTTTTTAAACGAATTGTATACAGCCGTCATGTAAGCATAATTATAATAAATGACATGAGATACATTTAAAGCATTCTTGGAATGTTAATGATAGTACAAACGATGATAAATAAATAAAATACTTTTTAATGATGTTAGGGTTTTATTTTGTTCCTTATTGTTATTATTAGTTTATTGTATTTATTGTCTTGTTTTCTAATATATTTGGACCCTGAGTCAGTAAAAAAAGTTTGATGATGATTAGCTATTGTTATTAACAATATGTTTTCCCTCTTCAGATTCTGACTTTTTTAGCAAAGAAATGGTGATGGAGAAGCCCAGTCCCCTGCTGGTAGGGCGGGAGTTTGTGAGACAGTATTACACACTTCTCAATAAAGCACCAGACTTTCTGCACAGGTATGCTCTATAAAAATCATAATTTTATCACTTCATATGTCATTGCATTTTTATCTGAAAATTACAATTATTCAAAACTCGCATAATTCAGATTTTATGGACGAAACTCATCCTATGTCCATGGTGGACTGGATTTGAATGGAAAGCTTTCAGAGGCAGTCTATGGGCAAGCTGTAAGTCTTAATGTTAGTCATTTGTTTATGTATAACCTGTGAAACATCCAAATTATAAAGATATTCACCAGCATCTGTATTCCTCATCTGTAGGAGATCCATAAGAAGGTAATGTCCTTGCAATTCAGTGAGTGCCACACAAAAATCCGGCATGTGGATGCCCATGCCACTCTGAGTGATGGTGTGGTTGTCCAGGTCATGGGAGAACTTTCCAATAATGGACAGCCCATGAGGAAGTTCCTACAGACATTTGTGCTGGCTCCAGAGGTGTGTATAATAATAGCATGCCATATGTAGTCATCATACAATCAAATGCATTATACAGTACCCATAAAAGGTATTGACTCCTTAAACATCAAGGATTTTTTTTTTGTGCAATTGATTATTGCAGATACATTTCAGATTTGTTCAATGTATTGGTGTTAACACCAAATAAACATTTGCATAGGTAATTCACCTACAAGTTCATATGTAGTAGGTATGCAATTATAGCATTTGTGTAGATGGATACAAATGTATCTACACAAAGCACATATGTGACCCTGGACAAAACCAGTCACATGGGTAATTTTTTTAAAATTGAGATTTAACGTTATACATAACCTAAATAGGATTTCCATTTATGTATGGTTTGTTAGGATATGACAATATTTGGTCGAGATACAACTATTTAAACTGGAATTTGAGGGTGCAAAAAAACGTAATTTTTCTTAAAGTTGTCCATTTATGTTTGCGATTATGCTGCATTCACTCACAAAAATAAATGTTTTATATATTTAGGGTTTACAAAATATCTCCATGGAACATGATCTTTCTTGACTTATTTTTGATTTTTTGTTTTTTTTTTTAATGATTTTTGGCAAAAAAGAAAAATCGATCATTTTGACCCATGCAATTTGTTGTTGGCAATTGCCACAAATATACCCGTGCAACTTGTGACTGGTTTTGTGACCCAGGGTCACATATGGTCACTGTAATTTTTCTTTGCAGAACAGCTCAAGCTCAATTAAGTTGATTAGAGATCATGTGTTGAACAGCCTTTATTCAAATAATACACCCACATATTCTGGACTCGGCCACACCAAGACTTTAAATGTGCAGTAAGGGATTTCTGAGAAACACTGTTGATATTTTAAAATCAACACCCAAAAAATAACAAACACTCTATGCAACACAGGCAATCGGCGCATCAGACAGCTCGTGCAAATATGGATAAATCAGCTGTGATTCAACAGCAACAGCATATCTTGGTTCTGTGAAAAACCAATGTTACTCATGTATTGAGCAGATACAGTGCAACCTCTCCAGTGCTGGAAAGCTTTTCCAGTATTAACACAAGTCCTAGATCTTGCCAGATTGTAACTATTCTTTTTCCAATTACATTCCTCTACTTTTCCTCTTTGGTAATGTCTCACCCATCTCTCTTTCTTCTGTTTTTCTGTCCTCCCCTGTCATGAGCGGATACACCCCCTTTTGCTGAAGAGTGTTTTGGTGCGCGGTGGATCAATCCAATCCACTTAGGTTTTTTTTCTCCTGTTTACACAGAGAACGGGCATCAAACAAAATATTCACAAAATTGTTTGTTTCAGTGTTGATTTGAATATTCAATAGAGTTCCTCATAAATCTCTTACTACACCTTTAATATGACATTGTTTCTCTGGCTTTCCAGCTCAGTGGGTTCATCGTCTTCCTGGAAAAGCAATCTTGAAAAAGTGTGGTAGATATTTTTTTAAAGGCATTGAATGGTTTATAGCTGGCTGTATCAAATAAATTATTTTATTATATATTATTTATTTAAGAAAATTTGTGTTTGACAATGTAAAGAAAAGTGGTCATATATTCAATTCGGTTTTTACATTTTATACACCACCACATTTATACATTATTCATGAGAGACCCTGAATTTATGATAGTGGAAGGGAAGTTACAGACACTGGATTCAAACTATATATATATATATTTTTTTTTTTAAGTTGGCTTTTCTTCCCTGTTGTGACATATACCTGAATGAATCTGCTTCTTGAATGATACAAAATGTAGGGCGGGACTTAATTTTGTCGATCTGGAAATGATTGGATTATTGTCATGTGCTACTGTTGTGATATCATGTGAGTGAGAGCGGTTATTGTCCTGCCCTCAATCCAGTCCACATGTCATCAGGGAAAAGAGGAGGAGGGCACATAAATTATAAAAAAAATTCAAAAAATCATTTATATTATAGAACATACTGCCAGTGTTGTAGTACTCGAGACTCGGACTCGTCTCGGACTCGTCTCTTGTTATGGACTCGTGTGCATTTGGACTATGAATTGACTCGTACTCGAACATTTTTTTTTTTAGGACTCGGACTTATTCCGAGTCCACTCGAGTTCAATTCAAAATATTTTTCATGATTATTAATGTATGTTAATAAAATATTTCTTTAAATTGATTGACATGCCCAGTGATTGGTGATTTTCTAGTGCGCAACTGCACATGACAAATTGTAATAAAATTACTTTTCACACCACCTACTATGTGGCCTTTTTACCCTAAACTGATCATATTTTTTTAACTCTAAGTAAATTCAGTAAAAAAAAAAAAGGATTTCTCTAAGTAAATAAAAGTAAATTAGGTAATCAACCCTCACTGGTCTCGGTCTCGACTCGGACTCGACCGTCTCTGGTCTCGGACTCGACTCGGACTCGACTCTCTATGGACTCGGTCTTGACTCGGACTCGACTCTCTCTGGTCTCGGTCTCGGTCTCGACTCGGACTCGAGTGAGGTGGTCTCGACTACAACACTGCATACTGCAATATATAAAAGTAGTGCCATTAAAAAAAAGATTAGTCCATTTTGATTTCATGGTGACTTTAAGAAAATGGAAGTGACAAATATAAGCCTAATATAATTGTGTAAAATATAAAAGAAACAAGAAACCTTTCACTGTATCATAAGACATTTAATCTGTGTTTAAAAAAAAAACAGCATCATATATAGACCATTTCACAAGATGTAAACAACACTGGTCCAGAAACACTTCCTGTTTCAGTTTGTAACTGTTTTCTTTATTTCACATGTAAAGAAAACATCTTAAAGATATTTGTTTAACTTTTTGATTCAGTTTTAAATGTTCTGTTGGTTGTATTTTATCCCAGCTTTTATGTAGTGTTAAAAAACTGAAACAGGAAGTGCTTCTGGACCAGTGTTGTTTACATCTTGTGAAATGGTCTATACATTTCATTAATGTTTATTGTTCTACTCTTCTACTGTAGCATCTACTGTTAATGTTTCTCCATGGTGCTAAGAACAAAGTTGATCTTTTGTTTGCTAGTATGGTCAGAATATTTGACATGCATTTACTTCACCTGTATAGCCAGTGGGTGAACTAATCTGAAAGACTTTTTCTTTTTAATTGGTGTCTAGGGTTCTGTGGCAAACAAGTTTTATGTTCACAACGATATCTTCCGATATGAAGATGAGGTCTTTGGGGACTCTGAGGCTGAGCTTGATGAAGGTTAGTTGAGAATTAAAGATGAATACATGTACCGGTATACAGTTCTTATATTATAGCATCTTTAGAAAGACTACAGCCCCTCATATCCAAAAGTATTAGCGGTACGTGTCTTGACTTTGATATTTCTTCCCAATTGTTTTTGGCTAAGCTGCTCTTACTCTGTTACATTTCAAGTCATTTTCTCCACTTTTACATGTTTATTTGCTTGGCCCCCAATGATTTCCAATTGCAGCTACATTTATTATTCTTGCTCAATCTGATTCTGAACTTTATCTGCATTTTCACCCTTTGCGCGCATAAATGGTCTGTGGTTATTAATATTTTGTCTAGTTTTTTTGAGATGGATGTGGTATGTAGTTGCCTAGCAACAAGCAATCACATTTGCAATATTCAAAAGCTCAGCCCTGCTACTATATTTGAGCTTGGAACTAGAAACTTAACTTAACATTTTTACATGTAAATCTCTCTCCATATCAGGAACAAATTAGTTTCAAGTACCCATAAGTCCAACCTTGAAAATGTTTTTTTTTTTTTATATGAATTATACATTAATATTAGATCAAACCTTTATAAATCTTCTGATGAACGCCTTGGCCAATAAATCTGAATTTGTTGTCTGTCTGAATATGGTGAACAAAACCAAAATAATTTTGTTAGATATGGTTTAAAGTGTGGTGAAAGTTTATCAATGGAAAGCACTTAGGGCCCTATTTTAACGGTCTGAAACACAAGTGCGCGCAAAGCGCAAGTAACTTTGTGGGCGGATCCCGGCGCTGTTGCTATTTTCCCGGCGGGATAAATGCCTCTTGCGCCTGGCGCAAATATAAAAGGGGTTGGTCTGAAGTAGCTTCATTATTCATAGGTGTGGTTTGGGTATAACGTGAAATTAACTAATCAGAGCGTCATCCAACATACCCTTTAAGAGCAGTTGTGCATGTTGCATGACGGATTGTTATTATAACGGCGGATTTAGCAAGCGCCAGGAGCGTTCACAGCCGATTAGACCGACGTTCTTGACAGGGCAGTGAAAGACAGAGAAGTGACGTTGTATGGGAATGGGAGAAACCCTCGCACATCAACGTTGGTTAAACATTATATACGTATGTTTCTTGCCACTATTGGGTAAACAGGTCTGATCCTTTAGTACTACATTTAGCCTTAAAAAATGGGTAATTAGGTTTTTTTCATCTTCATGTAAACCACAATAATTTCCTATGTGTTAATATTTTTCCTTGTTATAATGTATGATTTGCAAAAATAAAAACAGCTGCATCTGTGTTGATGAGAGAATCAAAGTGTATGCGCTTTGTGCACCCGCTACATTATGGCCAAGCTTGCGCGCTTAAAATAGCATTATGAACAACGCGCCACTGACTTAAGACTAGGTTTTTTCTGGCCAGTGGTGCAATTGATTTCTGGAACTGTAAAATAGCACCAGGGAATGTTTGCGCCGAAACACGCCTCCTTATTGCACCGAAGTTCATTTCCTAGTTTACCGACGTGTGTCTGTGGAAGGAAAAAGCCCGCTTTGCGCGGGTGCAAAATAGGAATGATACATGCATTAGTGTATAAAGTCATTTGCGCCGGGTGCAAGATATAGCCCTTAACGTTATACATCCCGAATTTCTTTGTGTTTGCGTGTGTGTGTGTGTGTGTGTGGCCTGGTAAACCCTATGGAAAAATGTCTCCACAAAGACAGCAGTATTCAAAATCCTTGACAAAAAGTCACACTACATCAAAAAAAAAAAAAAAAAAAAAACCTTTAAGGACATTCCTTATAAATGATTTTTTTTGTAACTATATACAATTTGGGGTAGAACTTTATTTTTATTTGGATGGATGACAAGCATCTTCTGTAAACGGTGAAGGCTGGCTTTTTATTGATAAAACTCAACCACACAGAAGACTTGAGTTCTGACGGGTATGAAAGACTCAGTTACTATTGCAGAAGTCACCTACAAGCTTTTCACTGGAAAATTCCTAGATCTTGCAGCTTTATTTTATGAATATGTTCCTTTAGAGCTAGAGCACTTAGGATGTTTTAAAGCAAGGGGATGGTACTTGCTCATTCAATTGTTTATTTATTTTATTTTTTCAACGATTTACCTAAACAAATGTTTTGCTGGGACAGAATCAGAAGAAGAGAACGATGAGCCAGAAGACAGGCAGCCATCACCTGAACCCATCCAGGACAGCCCCAGTAATGCAAACTGCTATGAACCCCATCCTGTGAGGTAACCCACATTTCCTCTTAAAATGAAAGCCTACTTGGTCTATAACTGTAAATATCTTGAAAATTGTAAATCGAAGCTCTGATTTTAGGAGTTGTCTAATGGTTTTTATCCATTTCTTTTTTCACGTTCAGCTGTAACAATGGTGTGGAAGAAGCTCATGAGGAAGCAGCTATGGAACTAGATTCTGAACTTGCCCCAGAACCCAAGATTGAGGAGCCAAAGCTCAAGGCAGAAGAGAAGGTTTTAGAGGAGTTTGAGGAGAAGGCACCGTCTCCTGGTCCTATGGAATCACCACCTCACATACAAGAACCACCTAAAGTAAATTTTGACATTTAGTGCCATTTCTAAAATGTAGATAATGGGCTATATGCACGCATAAGTTCCGCATTTGACGTAAGGATGCTCGTCCATTTCCGGTTGTGTAGATTAAAGCGGAGGAAAACCGGAGAAAACGGGATTATGGCAGAGTCTTCAATATTTACTGTCCTCCCGTCTTTGAAACGAAACGTACATACGTTTAGATGTAATTTTATATATAGTTATGTTTATTTAATATAATTTTAAAAAGAAGCATAAACACAACGAGGGGTGTCTGTTTTATCTGTTTTTGTGACTAACGTTTCATTAGTATAACCATGGAGTATAAAATTCAATATAAATTCTCGGTATTGCATTGGACTCTACGATCGGCGGAAGTTATCGAGCATCCTTAATGCTTCACCGGAAATAACGCAGTGCATAGAGCCCATTTAAGTTAAAATTGTTAGGTATTTTGATAATTTGACAGTTCATGTTATTTATATTTTTACATTAAGAATGTGCAGTACAATTTGTACTAGTAGTATACGTATTTTTACCATTTCTGAAAAGTCATGCTGGAGCAAAATGATCATGTCTCTGGCAGACTTCTTCTTGGGCCTCTGTGACCAGCAAAAATCTGCCTCTCTGTGGGACTGTTCCATCCTCTGGAGGTCAACCACATGTTGTTAAAGCACCGAACTCCCAGGTAGCCCCTTTATGAATGCATTCATATCTTTCTTTCTTATTTTACTAGAATGCTGTTGACCCAGCATTACTTGAACCATGTTTCATTTGCATACTATCTTGATTTTTACTGTTATCAGCCCAGAGTTGAGACCAAGCCAGAGGTGTCGTCAGCTACAATCCGTCCACGTGACCAGCGTATCCGTGACAGACCTTCAGTAACCTCAAGAGCGCCTAGATCTGGTATGAATCTAGAATAGAATACTTATAAAGCAATGCTTCCATACAACATAATTTTATTCAATTTCACTATTTGAAAAAATATATATATTTCTCATTAGATGGCATCTCATCTTCCGAATCTCAAACTGGGAAACCACATTTCAGCTTTGTAAATAAAGGTAAATATGCCTTTCCATTGTGAATAAGTTGTAGCTGTTTTGTTTGGGAAATGCTGCTGTTTGTTGATAAAGAAAGAATGGTGTTGTTGTTGGTCCCTGTATAGCCATTAATAATGGCAGCTGATGAAGTATATTGTATGTTGCTTAGGAAGGGGCGAAGAGTCGAGTGAAATGGACACCAGAAGGGTTGTCCGGTATCCAGACAGTCATCAGCTGTTTGTTGGAAATCTCCCTCATGACATTGATGAGATTGAACTCAAAGACTTCTTCATGAGTAAGTTGTTTAAATTGTCATGAGCTGCGTTTTCACCGCAATTACCAGGAACTATTTGTCCCAGGAACTCTTTTCATAGGAACTTTTTTCGCTTGCTTACTGCGTTTACACCGTGGACTAAAATACTGGTTCGGGGCAGGAAAATTATGTAGTGACATTGAACTGCGTGCGACTGCTCCTCCCAGTTTGCGCGTTTGTTTTGAGTTTTGAGTGCATTTTGTATGGAGGAGATTCAAGCTGTGCTGCTTTTGTGTGTGATTGGTTTACTAACGAGTTAATTAACAAAACGGCAGAAAAGAGCCGAGCACCCAAAGCGTATTCAGAAAGCTCGTAATGCTAGATATAAAAGTAGACGTTTGTTATCAGCGGACATTGACCGTGAGATGGATGGGACGAACGCGCGCCATCGGGCAGAAAGAACAAGTGGTAAGAAACAATCAGCATGTTCAGTGCACAAGTCCCACCCCGAAAGTTCCCGAACTCTGAAAAAGTACTACCTCGCCAGCAGGGACTAAATTTTTACCCGGAACTTCATTTAGACCCTGGTTCCTGCGGTGTAAACACACCGAGTACCACCCCAAAGTTCCTAGTTCCTGGGGAAAGTTCCTGCGGTGGAAACACTGCTAAGGTAACCATTGCATTGATCCTTGTTCTCTCATATTTATGAATCAAATCATCTTCACATTTGATTATTCTTTGTCTCTCCAAACTAGCTTTTGGAAATGTTGTTGAGTTACGAATCAACACCAAAGGCACTGGAGGAAAGATTCCCAACTTTGGCTTTGTTGTCTTTGATGATTCTGAGCCGGTGCAAAGAATTTTAGGAGTCAAGGTAAGGAAAGCTGTTTGTCTTTTGGTAAATGTTTTTAAAGTGTTATTTTAAAGGGGTGCACTGATTTTAAAATTCTGTCCATCACAATAAGACTTATTTTATAAATAATAAGATGTCACAATTTTGTGTTTTGGCTGATGACCTATAAATGCCCAACTAAATAAAACACTAAAAACGAACTTATTTGCAAAGCACCGTGAGACAGGTACTGTCCAGAATGTAAAGCTCTGGGCTGGTCAAAGAAGACTACAGAGCGTTTTGTCACTAGGTTGAGCATTAACACTATGGGCCCTATTTTAACGATCTGAAACGCAAGTGTCCTAGCGCATGGCGCAAGTAACTTTGTGGGCGGGTCCCGGCGCTGTTGCTATTTTCCCGGCGGGATAAATGCCTCTTGCGTCTGGCGCAAATCTAAAAGAGGTTGGTCTAAAGTAGCTTCATTATTCATAGGTGTGGTTTGGGCGTAACGTGAAATAAACCAATCCGAGCGCCATCCAACATACCCTTTAAGAACAGGAGCGCATGTAGCATGACAGATTGTTATTACAACGGCGGGTTTACCAGGCGCGCGCTTTCAGGAGCGTTCACAGCCGATGAGACCGACGTTCTTGTCAGGACAGTGAAAGACAGAGAGGTGACGTTGTATGGGGATGGGAGAAACTCTCGCACATCAGCGTCGGTTAAACATTATAGCCTATATATGTATGTTTCTTGCCACTATTGGGCAAACAGGTCTGATCCAGTACTACAATTAGCCTTATGCACAGCTGCACTACTTCCTGAACTTAAGCCAGCTCCTTGTTTCCTGTCTGTCATTATTGGACAAGTTGATTAATTCAGGTGTGCCTGACCTCAGTAGTCACGGCAACAATAATCAAACACACCTGAATTAATCAAGTTCGGCCAATAATGGCAGACAGGAAACAAGGAGCTGGCTTAAGTTCAGGAAGTAGTGAAGCTGTGCATAAGGTCAGTTAGCCTTAAAAAATGGGTAATTCGGTTTTTTCATCTTCATGTAAACCACAATGATTTCCCTCATGTGTAATATTTTTCCTTGTTATAATGTATGATTTGCAAAAATAAAAACTACTGCATCTGTGTTGATGAGAGAATCAGTGTATACGCGTTGTGTACTTGCTACATTATGGGCGAGCATGCACGCTTAATATAGCATTATGAACAACGAGCAACGCGCCACTGACTTTAGACCAGTTTTTTTCTGGTCAGTGGCACAATTGTTTTCTGGAAGTGTAAAATAGCATCAGGGAACACGCCTCCTTTTTGCGCCGATCCGCCCAGGGAGCGCAAGTTCATTCCCTAGTTTACCGACGTGCGTCTGTGGAGGGGAAAATCCCGCTTTGCGCGCGTGCAAAATAGGAATGAGACATGCGTTTGTGTATAAAGTCATTTGCGCCGGGTGCAAGATAGGGCCCTATATGTGACTTCTTCAAAATAACTTCCAAAGTCATGGATGAGATATACGCTTGTGAGGAAACTCCAATTTAATTCTGCACTGCAAGGCAAGTTTGAAGAATCTGTCTGGATATTGACTGTAATTTTTAACACAATAAACATTCCAAACAACACGCATACAACAAAAACTTAAACAAAAATGTATAACTTGAATTAAAGCTGCAAGCAGCAATAAAATGGCCCTGAATATTAGAAATTACACAAAACACAATGTGCAAAACCTTTTTAGCAATGCTCACACTGGCTGCTGTAATAATAAAAAGGAAGAATCAAAATGAAATTAGTTGTTGATTATATTTTAGTCAACGTTATACCTAATAACGTTAGGGTTATTATCGTTAATTAAAACTAAAACCATTGAAAAAAATATTTACTTGTAATAAAATATTAAAAAAACGTTCATTTTGATTTCAGCTAAAATAAATTAAAAACGAAAACTTAAAACTATATAGACTTTCAAAACAACATTAAAAATGAAAAAAAAAAAAAAAAACTAAATTCCTGGAATTTTACCGGGAAAATAAAACTATAATATAAAAGCATAAAATAAAATTCTAAATATAAACAAAACCAATAGTAGTATATAAATTATACTAAAATAATACATTAAATAATACATTCTATGCTTTTTTTTTCTTTGTAAAATAAAACCAATATTCCATCATAAGCTGTAGTTTGCCTTTTATACCAATAAGCCAGTCAGTGAAATATCTTCTTTCCAGTTTAACTCCACATATTTAATAGCATAATCATTTTTCATTTTTGACCACACAACTGTATATAATATCAATAAAAAAAAAAATCGATATGATAAATGAAAAAAAAAAAAAAAAAAACTCTAGTTTTGGCATTGTTGAATGGTACTGATAAATCGGGCATCCCTATACTTTTCTTTGTAATACATTTCTTCAGGTGTAAAGATGTGGTATTGAGAGAATATTTCATAACTGACTCCACATGTCATTTTGTGATTAGCCAATCATGTTCCGTGGCGAGGTACGCCTGAACGTGGAGGAGAAAAAGACGAGGGCAATGCGTGAGAGGGAAACCCGTGGTGGAGGTGGAGAAGATCGTCGGGAAGCAAGACGTAGTGATCGTGGTCCAGGAGGTCCGCGTGGCATTGCCGGAAGCAGCATGATGCGAGACCGTGATGGCAGAGGCCCACCTTCACGGGTCGCCACCGTACCTAAACAAGGCATAGCCTCTGGGAGAGGCACGGCTTCAAGTGAGGGCCGGTTTGCTCCTCAGAGGCGTTGAGAGGAGCTCCCCTTGTAGTTCGGATGTAGTACGATGTTCATTATTATGATATTGAGAAGTCTATGTTAAAACATATACAGTACATACTTTTTATTTCCTTACTCCTTATGTTGTACACTTGGATTTTTGCCTTCGGAATGTCAGCTGTTTCATGTGAAACAGATCAACAACTTGAACAACCTAATGACTCCAAACACTCGAGTCACTTTAAATTGGAATTGTGCTGCAAATCCTCTGGTTTGTCATTTATCAATCGGTAAAAATTACAAACTTGATGGGGAAACAAGTCAGGTGTATTCAGTGCCGTTAGAATTTCTTTGACATTTCATACTAATGACCCTCCAGTTGCTATTGGTGTAAAATATGCAGATTGAAAGAATTCTTCTTTTTTTTATATTTTAATACATATTATTTAGGAAATTACACAAATCAGCTCATTAATAAGCCAGGTAAAGGCTACATGAAGGCACTTAGAAACAGTATTTCATTTAATTGTATTGATCTGTCAAAAAAGAAGAAAAAGAAAGGCTTTAATTATGTGTTCTGAAAGACAGTGAGAGTGCAGACAAGACGGTGTCCTCTCTCCTATTCTGTTTGTGTTGGTCTTTTGTATGTAGATGTTTGACAGCATTTTATGTTCTGTTTCTGCCTGAGTAAGTGAATGGAGCAGCAACAGAAGAAATTGTTAAGCGTAAAGGTACCAAGCTTTTGTGTAAAGGTGTTTTGGATTTATGCTGAATGTTTTTCTTAAGGCAGAGGCACTTTATCAAATTTCATTTTTATTTTATTTTTTCGCCCAGTTTTCATAACTTTAATCTCATTTTGTGACATGAGTTTCAGTTTACATCCTAGGCATTGTTCTTCTTTTTTTTAATTAAAACATGACAGATTTATACAGGGTACCGGGAAACATGGCTGGTGTATTTCTCACTTTCCCAAACTGACTAGTTTTGCATACATTTTTTTTATTGAAATTATTATAACGAATAACATTTTAAATATCACTGATTAGAAAAACTGTCAAAATGCTTATTGTAAATCTTTTTTTTTTTTTCAGACACATACAGACTTCATTTTCTGAACATTTTGTAAAAAACAAAACAAAAAAACAAATCCTTCAATTTAGTAGTTTAGGCCTTCTGATGTGAAGGCATTTTCTTCTCTGTGTGTGTGTTTTTATATATATATATATATATATATATATATAAACACAAAACACACACACACATATATGATTGATATCCACACCCATTTTCGCCTTGGTCTTAATGAGGAACATGTGAATGCCGTTCTTCATGAAGGAACCATAAGTACAGTAGGCACTGATTTCATTTTGCAGTGTTAGTCTAAAATTTGCACTGATTTTGTAAGTACAGTTTGATGTAGCGCTATTTTTGATGTTTAATGTCTTCCGTGTCAGGTAGATTGCACTATTTGCAGTATTTCTAGGACAATCCTCATCAGGGACATTGCATTTCTATTTTTTATTTGTTCATTTTTTGGGAGACACCTTGTTCTCTATTAAAAGACATTTTGGTTGCAGATGCATTTACTTCTAGAAGATTTTGGAAGAAAGTATACCAATATGTCCTGCCTATAGAGCCTTCTTTCCCCATCCACTCTACCTAATTCTTATGTGTTTGGAGTTTGGGACCTGGAACGTTTTAATTACTGTGTAAATAAATGCCATAATGGCCTTTCTATTTAGACTTCAAGCACTTCAATCAGCCAAGTACTTCAAATTTTTGGATCACAAGAGAGAAAAAGAGGACATTACACCACAGGGCTTGGTCAAATAACTGTGCTTTTCAACCCAAAAAATATGCATCAGAATTTAATTTGTTTTATTTGTTCATATCATTTAATCATTTTTTAACCCTCTAATCCTAATGCGAAATAATTTCTTTGGTTTTCTTGCAGTTATTGTGACATTTATAGATGCTCTATTTATAGATGTAGTTTATTTTGGTGGAACATGAACATGGTTTTGTGTTAGCAGGTGGTTACCAAATCCTTTTCTTTGGACTGCATATTTGTATGAGTAAAATATGTTGCAACTGAGTGTTTATTTTTACTTGGATTTTCTTTTTTTTTTCTCTTTTTGTATTTTTAATTCACTTTCATTAGATTTCAGTGTGTTAAACATGACATACAATAAACAGAAATCTGTCTCGTGCAAAATCTTGCAGCACTTCCAGTCTGTTTATTTAGACTCATAAAAAAAATTATCAGCATTTTTTTTTTTTTTTTTTTACAAATGGCAAATTTGGGCAAATTTAGACAATAAAATATTCATTGAGGGTTACAATACATACAATTCTGCAATGAAAGAAGCAATTTTCAAAGATTAAGTACCTCAAATATCAATATCTTTCTTGAAATTAATACCAAAAGAATGTGTTTTCTTTGAAAAATTACGTTTATGATTGTAAAATTGTGCAATTAGCAGCAATAAAATAATTATAAACAATGTAAAATGGGTCTATTTTCAAAGATTCACTAACCACAATTTATTGGCTACATAATTTGTTTTCTTTTTTTTTTTTCTTTTTTTTTACTAAATTAGAGGTCCATCCAAAACACTGCAATGAAAAAAAAAAAAGATTATAATTGTTTCTTCAGTGTGAAGACAAAAGGAACAATTTGGTGAAATACTGTCTTTACACTACAAGTTTATAATTTTCTAGGTATTTCTGGATAAGTAACAGAAATTATGTGGGGAAAAAAGCCATATTTCCATTCTGTCACTAAATGTATTATTCCCAAAACGTATACAGTCAGGTAAATAGATCTAAGTTCTTCCAATGGTGTTTTTTTTTTACATTTGAAAAGCTACGACACATGAAAGAATAGATTAGAGTCAACCGTGTTTGACTTAACTGTCTCTTTAAGAGACCGTCACTGACGCTGTGGTCAGCCACGTATCGCCACGTCTCTACGCATGCGCGTCGTAGTCAGTTCCGGGCTGGGTGCTGGTGTGTTGAGAGATCAACATCAGGCAGCTGCTGATTTTAATGACATTTACTTTCTGCCTGTCCTTTGGAATCTCACGTTTAACTGACGTTTACTTAATCTGTCTGTAGACCAGCGTCTAAAACATTACTACAGTGGACAGATAGAAAGATGAATTTCCTCAGGGGAGTAATGGGGGGGCAACCAACAGGCCCACAGCCGACTGGAGCAGAAACAGTGAGTTTAATTACTGCAAAAACAAATAAATATATTTGAGACTAAATAAATTAATTCAGTTTATAAGCAGCTAAAAGCAACTGCCTATCAAGTCAATGACACACGTTAGATAATGCTTTCGGATCAGTAACGTTAGTTTATATAACGTTACTGTGCACAGAAATATGAATATGATTAACGTTGGATGTATAGCCTATTAACCAGTGTAACAAAACATTTCTAAATGGCACTTCCAAATCAGACAGTGTTTATACTTGAACCTTGATGTGAAATATGTTCAATTACACTGTATATGATGTTTGGTGTGTTACCTGGCTATAGTCTTTGCAAAGTGTTATTTTTACCATTGTGATGTTCCCAACTAAATTTTCGGTAGGGATAATGTAACTTCACTGTGACGAGGCATTTGCCAACTTATTGTGTCTGTTCAGATTCAGAAGTTGTGTGACCGTGTGGCTTCATCCACCCTGTTAGAGGATCGAAGAGATGCTGTCCGTGCCCTCAAATCTCTGTCCAAGGTGACTATCAATTAATGCTTGTGTGTTGTTTTTTTTGTTATTAAGCTGTTGTAAATATACACTGCCATTTAAAAGTTTGGGGTCAGTAAGGAAAGAAATGAAGAATGCTTTTATTCAGCAAGGATACATGCATACATTGATAAATAGTCTCAATAAATGATTTCTGTCAAATAAAGTAGAAACTTTCTATTCATTAAAGCATCCATGATTTTAAAATGTATCACATTTGATAATTATAAATGTTATTAGAGCATCAAATCATCATATTAAAATGATTTCTGAAGGAAATCTGAAAACAGGTGTAATGGCTGCTAAAATTCAGCTTTGCCATCGCTGGAATAAATTAAATTTTCAAATAGAAATAGAAATGTTTTTAAATTCTAATAATATTGCATAATATTACTGTTTTTAGTGTATTTTTGAGCCTTGGTGAGCATAAGTTTTCTTTTGCAAACATTCTTATAGACTCCGTACTTTTGACTGACAGTATATATTCAATAATATTGAAGCTTGATGTAATTGAGCAATAGATAAACAGATAAAAGCCGTTGTTTGCCACGGTGCTCAACAACCTCTTTATCGGCATAGGAATTTTTGACTTATCTTTTTATTCTAATATATTTCTACATAAAGATTTTTCTTAAAGACCTCCTGTGGTGAAAATCAAGTTATTAATAATGTTGTTTATATGTCTATGTGGTGTTTTTAATATGCTTTAAGACAAACCATGTGCAAATGCACAAGTCAATATGCCACTTAACGTGTTTGCTTAAGATCCTCCTGTAGTCAATAATTGTATCCCTTGCTGAGTATTTTCTCCTTAAAACTGCAGTGGTCTAAAGTCAGTTTGAAATCGCTGGTGTTTCTGACTTCACAAACTACTTTGTAACCAATCAGGTCAACGTGCCGTCAGGCTTTAGCATATCTTTACTATGCCGTGAAGCATAGGGAGTCTCAAGAGAAGCCAGGTTATCTCGATATTTATTCTGTTGTTGATATAAAAAAAATGGGGTAGATTTAGGAATACAGCAGGTGTATGATGAAGATTACGACATTATGATGAATACCTTTCTACTTTTTGAGTTCTTCAAAGGATGCTGATTGTTAGAAGTTAGCTGTCTGAAGGCAAGATTTTAGGGCATAAAGAGATTTTTTTACAGGAAAAATGTTTAAATAAGTAATAATGGTGATCAAAAATGAGTTTTAAAAATTAATTGACTTCTGCGGACTTTAAGCAAATGCATTAAGCGGCATCAGTCTTCTAGATATAGCCTAGTCCCTACAGAATTTTACTATGCAACTAAAATAACAATCCTCTACGGGGAGTTGCATAGTGATATGGTGAACAGGTGTTATTTTTTGGAATATTGCACATTTTATCAAAAGCCTGTACATTTTTGGCACGGTTTATAATGCATAGGTGATATTACAGTAAATAGAATATCAAAACAGAAGGAATCCAGTACATGCTGTGTTCGTTTCACTGTTAAAAACATGCCTTGAAAGTGTTGAGGTGTGTTTTTTTTTTTTAAGTGAAAATAATTCCTCCTATCCTGATAAGTAAGCCATCATAAACTGATTTGAAATAACATTGGTGGGAGTGTTCAGAAACAGTCATTATGCAGTTCCGTTTGGTGCAGCTAATGTTGCAGGAATTTCACTTTTGTGCCAGAAGTTAAATTTAAAGGTTGTTTTATATTTTTGATTGAAAATATACCCTATACATTACTCAGTTGTTTGTTGAACATGTGTCAAGTAGATTTTGAATTACAGAAATACCGTGTGGAGGTTGGAAATATGGCGATGGACCATTTGGTTCGTATACTACAGACAGACCGGTATGTTTCACAATTTGGTCAAAAGAATATTACATTTACCATAAAGATGGTTCTTGTTGTGTTTTGTTGATATTAGGTGAAAGGGCTTTGGGTTTAAACTTTAAATTCTCTTTTTTTAACAGGTCAGACACTGAAATCCTAGGTTACGCTTTGGACACTTTGTACAATATTGTTTGCAATGATGAAGAGGAAGAACCAGGTATGTTAAGGTTATATTCTTGATTTATTCTGGTTCAGATATGATCATGTTGGAATTTTAATTGTTTCAATGTCCGTAAGCGTCTTGGGCTGATTCATGTCTTATTCTTTGATCCCAAATGAATACTTTTCTTTAAATTGTTCTTACAAACCTTAATTCAGTCTGTTCCTAGACTCCTTCTTGCAGTTTGTTTGATGAGCTGGGAAATATTGTATATCTGATCCTCCTCCTTTTTCTTTCCATGTTTAATCCACCAGATGAATCTGAAGGTAAAGCACTTTTTTGTGCATGATGCTGTCTAACCACTAGCCCATCCATGCTTTGAAAATCCCTGTAGAATATATCCACTGCGTTTGAGACATTTTACAGTGATCTGGACCTAAATCATTTTCTTAATTCCATAAAGCAGCAAATTTTAGATGCTTGTATTACGGCATAATGACACTAGCAGTTTTGTTCTTCTCACAAGAGTTCTGTTAAATTAAGAAAAGTCTGTTTTTGAACAGTCTCAAGAGTTAAAATGTTGTTTAGATGTCCAAATGGCAAGATTTGTATAAATGAAAGAACCCAAATCCAGTTGAAATAATACTGTAACACCTGTGCAGATTGTGCTGCTGGTCGGTAGATAAGAAAATGATCTAAAACCTTTTTATTTTTATCAATGCCTAATTTCTGTTTACTGACAGTTGGTCATTATGTTTGCACAGTAGGTCAATCAAAGTTGAGCTATATATTAATTATAATCTTTATTAATTTTCATGAAAGAGAATTAACATTGTGTACTAATAAACAATAATAATTTAAACTGTTAAAAAAAATTTCTGAATAATAATTAGTTTTATAGTGTACTTATTTTAGTTTTTTTTAGTTAACAGTTTTTTTAGGTTAAGCTTAAGTTATTTATTTTTAATAAAGACACCATGTAATAAAAATAAAATGTCCCTTTGAAAAAAAGAAAAGATAACTGCACTCGTCAAACTGTTTTTTTGGTGTCCTTTAAGGCTTAATAGAACTGAGAATTGTCCTAGTATTAATAATATTTAGTGTAAAACAAAAAAGTTTACTCTGTGTGGGAGAGGTTAAGTTTTAGCTGGTGTGGGGTTTTGTTTGTTTGTTTATTTATTTATTTTTCTGCTTTTCACCCTTTTCTACTGTCCATTGTCCTAACCTGTGGGTTGATGTGCTTTTTTCTGTCCCTCTTTGTATTAATACAGTTCTTGTCAGCAGACACATTCCACTGCTCTTCCGTCTGGAGGCTTGATAACTTGTGTACTGAAAATAGTTCATTTTCTGGCTCTTTGCAATTTTATGGTGTGATCAGATTTAGCACAAAAGTTTATTTTTCTTCTTCTTAGTATAATACTTTCCATATCGTTCTATATATCTCCCCTTTTTCTGTTTTCCCTGCATTATAAAATAATAGTGAAAGTAAAAGTAAAAGTAAAGACAATAAAGAACAGGTTTCTCTGCATCACATTTTCTCTTTCAGAGGAGAACCAGCAAAAGCAGGAGGATGATTTGGGAGCTCAGTTCACTGACAAGTTTGTCCAGGAACCAGAAAATGTCACTCTGCTCCTCACGCTGTTGGAGGTAAGCTTAAACTGCCAACTATACTTTCTTTATACTGTACTATACTGTCTTTTTCACATTTTTGGATGTCTATTCCTGATGTTGTTTGACTGTTTTCCATGCTGTAGGAGTTTGACTTTCATGTCCGCTGGCCAGGTGTTAAGCTCCTAACTGCACTTTTGAAAAACCAGTGTCCTCAGGTCCAAGGCATCATCCTGGTCAGCCCAATGGGTGAGTCAAATGTATTTTGCTCTTGTAATTATTATCTTAAGCCACTTTCACACAGAGATTCTGGAAAATAGACAGATAATATGCCCCGGCATTTGTCCCGGGATTGTTGGATTTTGGTTAATTCACACTGCCAGTGATTTATGCCAGTGAAACATGTACACGCGCATACCGCTCCACAAAGCTGGTGAACGATCTCAGCTTCAGCGCGGATAGTGAGGAGCTTCTGGTCTCTGCTTCTTTCAAGTTTGCAGACATTTGTTCGTTCTTTCTTTGTTGATGACAAACACAAACCTTCTTCTAAGAGCAACAGAGTCACTATGACACAGCCCTTACGGCATTAGTCCTGGCTTTTGTTCACACAGTGCACGTTCCGGGACTGATTCCGGCAATGTTACTCGGTCCCCAAACTGGCATCGATGCCAGTATCAATCCCGGGTCGTGTTTGCGTTCACACAAAAGGCGTTCTGGCAATTTCCTGGCAATTTCCCGGGATTAACGCGCTGTGTGAAAGGGGCTTTATTGTTTAGAACTATTTGCCAGTACAGATTGTTTGGTTGTCAGATGTTTTTTTATCTACCCTGTTATGTATTATTTTACACATTTTGCTAATTTTATTTGCTTTTTAACCAGCTGAGATATCTAAAAAAAAATAATAAAAAAAATAGCTAATTTCAGAATCTTTTGACTCATATGACACAAATGTGTACAAATTGACTAACACAATTAAAAATGATGACTTACACATTCTCCTTAAATTTAAACTGGTCTCAGTTATGAATTAAAATTCTGAAACAAAAAGCCCCACATAAATTCACTTCACTCAAAAGTTTAAATTCTGTCGTCATTTACTCACCCTCACGTTATTCCAAAGTCATTCCTATATGGCTTTCTTTATTCTGACAGAATAATGAGGACAGAAATTTCATTTTTGGTAAAAAATCGATCTCCTGATACCAAAAGGGGTTTTACAACCAAAGTATTTTACATTTAAACATTTATTTTAGCAGACGCCTTTTTCTAAAGCGACTTACAAATGAAGAGAGCAATCAAGCCTCCAATAGGGCAACAAAATGCAAGTTCTACCAGAGTACATGTTGCAAGGTTAATTTTTTATTTTTTTGTTGATTAAAAAAAATAGAATAGAGTAGAAAAATATGAAAATGATTGAAGACTCAGCTGCTCGGGTTGAGTTAAGCAGGTAATTTCACCAGCAACATTGAGGGTCAATACAATTTTTGAGATCTGCTGATGTTGCACTGCTTGCTTTAAATATAACACCCAATATATACTGAATGTGAGTGGCATGGCAAAACTGCTGTTCCCTTTTGTTCATTTAATTCCTGAGTATGTGCCACTCCCAAAAATTAAAGCAGCCATACAAGTAAATATGTGGTTTGAGGGTAGGTTTTAGTGGTTAAAGACTTTCATTTGTACTTGATTGGAGTATGTCCAGACTCAGAGTGACAGCCATGTCATGTAAGTGCTACATATACAGTATATTAAACCGTATGGCTAGTACTGGGTTGGACCCCCTTTTGCCTTCAGAACTGCCTTAATTCTTTGTGGCATAGATTCAACAAGGTGCTAAGAGATTCCTCAGAGATTTTGGTCCATATTGACATCATGCAGTTGCTTCAAATTTGTTGGTTGCACATCCATAATGCAAATCTCCTGTTCCACCACATACCAAAGATGCTCTAGTCTATTGGATTGAGAAGATCTTGTGACTTAGTTTGGAGGCCCTTTGAGTATTGCGAGCTCATTGTAATGTTGAAGAAACCAGTTTGAGATGATTTGAGATTTGTGGCATGTTTTCCTGCTGAAAGTAGGCATCAGAAGATGTGGTCATAAATGTTGAGCATGGTCAGACTCAGCAGCATTACTCAGTTTGGCTGTGGTGTTTAAGCAATGCTCAGTTGATACTAAGGGGCCCAATCGGTGCCAAGAAAATATCCTCCACACCATTACACCACCAGCTGCCTGAAACGTAGATACAAGGCAGGAGGTATCCATGCTTTCATGTTATTTACACTTAATTCTGACTACTATCTGAATGTCACAGCAGAAATGGAAATTAGTGTCTACTCATTTCTAATTTCTGCATCAGACCAGGTAACATATTTCCAGTCTTCTTACGTCCAATTTTGGTAAGTCTGTGCAAGTTGTAGCCTCAGTTTCCTGTTAGCTGACAGGAGTGGCACCCAGTGTGATCTTCCGCTGTAGCCCATCTGCTTCAAGATTTGACGTTTTGTGCGTTCAGAAATCCTCTTCTGTAACGAGTGATTGAGTTACTGTTGCTTTTCTTGAGCCAGTCTGGTCTTTCCCCCTCTGACTTCTGGCATTTACAAGGCATTTTCTCCCAAAGAACTGCTGCTCACTGGATATTTTCTCTTTTCTGGACAATTATTTGTAAGCCCTAGAGATGGTTGTGCATGAAAATCCCTGTAGATCATCGGTTTCTGAAATACTCAGACCAGCCCATCTGGCACCAATAACCCTGCCACAATCAAAGTAACTTAAATCACCTTTCTTTCCCATTCTGATGCTCAGTTTGAACTTCAGTTCTCTTTCAAACTCCTTAACCATCAGTTTCCACAAAATATGAATCAGCACAAGTGTTTTCAACATTGATAGAAAAATGTCTTGACCACCAAATCACAAATCACCAATATTAAAATGATTTCTGAAGAATTATGTGACACTGAATACTAGAGTAATGGCTGCTGAAAATGAAGCTTTACCATCGCAAATGGAAAGACATGTTTTCAGTGTTATGTGACCACTGTATTTCTATTCCTCATTCACTTTTATTCATTTGTGTCAAGCTAAATGTGGTATCCACTGTCACTTAGGTCGAAATCTGTGCTACCTGGGGACTTCAGCTCCACATTAAGCACTATCATTCTTTAAAGCTGTTTGGATTATTTTATTGATATCTAGTTTTTTTTTCTTACTCTGCAGGAGTGTCCAGATTAATGGATCTCCTAGCTGACTCCAGAGAAGTTATCCGTAATGATGTAAGTGTTAATGCTCTACATTACCATGAGTGTTCATACGGGAAGTCTCTGTTGAAATTAAATTAATCAAGTTGACCTTTTTCCATTAAGGGTCTCCTACTGCTGCAGCAGCTCACCAAAGGCAACGCAGCAATTCAGAAAATTGTGGCCTTTGAAAATGCATTTGAGAGACTTCTTGATATTATCACAGAGGAAGGTTCTAGTGATGGAGGTATGCAGTTAACAATCCCATTTAATTTAAAATGGAGAAGGACACTCGTGAATTTTCAAAGGTGGCAAGATTTTGCATTAAGCTCCTTATTGACCTCACAGGTATTGTGGTGGAGGACTGTCTCCTATTGTTGCTCAACCTCCTGAAAAACAATAGCTCCAACCAGAATTTCTTTAAAGAAGGCTCTTATATACAAAAGATGAAGCCGTGGTTTGAGGTTGGGGATGACAACTCTGGCTGGTCAGCGCAGAAGGTCACCAACCTCCATCTAATGCTGCAGGTCTGAAATGAAGAATCCATTTAACATGTAATCCACAGTAAATTGGATGTTTTTATAAAGATTAAATGATTGGTTAAATATTATTGGTACTACTTTGCAATAAGATTTAATTTAACATTACTTAACTATATTAGTTAATATTATGATCTAACAATTAACAATACTTCTACAGCATTTATTAATCTTAGTCAATGGTAATTTCACCATTTACAAATGCATTATTAAAATCCAAAGTTGTATTTGTTAATGCACTAACATGAACAAACAATGAAAAATAGATTTAACTAGATTTTTGCTCATTTTTGAACTAATGTTAATAAATGAGACCTTGCTGTAAACACCTCCTCTTCTTCCTCTACTACTACAACTTCTTCTTCCCCTTCTCCTCTTTTTGCAACATTATAGAAGCAAGTCGGTGAGTATTGTTTTGTTTATGTGCCGAGTTAAAATCTCTAGTTGTGTTTTGTCTCTGTAGCTGGTGCGAGTGATGGTTTCTCCAGTGAACTCTCCAGGGGCTACTGCCAGCTGTCAGAAAGCCATGTTCCAGTGTGGTCTCCTCCAGCAGCTGTGCACCATCCTCATGGCCACAGGTGTTCCTGCGGACATCCTCACAGAGGTCAGATTATTCTCAGAATCTTATTTGAAAGGGATAGTTCACTTTGAAATTAATTTTTGATATGTTTTTAGCTTGCCTCAAGGGCATCCGAGATGTAGGTGTCTTTGTTTCCACAGCATTTTCAATTTTGACATTTTTTGGTCAAAATGTTGTTGTCTATCAGGTTAAGGGGGTCCTCCCTCGGTTCACCTCAAAGAGCATGCACAGAGAACTCAAAATTAAACATGATTTAATGACTCGTGAATGTAAGTACACACTGGTGGCCTAAGACATGAAACGAGCGCTTTGTGTGAGAAAACGAACAGTATTTATATAGTTTTTACCTCTTGTTAACAGCCGTCGAACTGATCTGAATCAGATGTCCAACCGTCTCCAGATGTTACACCGGAAGTGATCTCTCGCGCATCTACGTCACGCATTGTTTACACAGAGATTTCGGAAGTTTTACCTTTCACTAAACATAAGGTAAAACTTCCGAAATCTCCGACATCCAACGTAAATCGCATGTAGAACATTTTCTCAAAAATACCAAATGAACTTGGACAAATAAGGACGTCTTGCTCCATCATGGATAATCATAATATGGGTGTGTCAACCCACTTATGTGCGTCAGTGAACCGTTAGCCGCAAGATGTGTGATTAAACAACAGGTGGCGGTAATGGCAAAAAATGAGTTTGTAATCTAACAAGAAGAAGAAAATCCTTGCGCTGATTCGCGCAGGCTCGACAAACGCAATGTAGCTTTAGCTCGCGCTACACGGCTACTTGCTGCAAAAAGTAGTTAGCTACTGGAAAAGCTACTGAAAAATGTAGTTAAGTTAGTAGCGTCGCTACTTGTAGTTAACTACTCCCCAACACTGGTGCTAGCTCTGCGATATATGCGAAGTTCGCCAAACATCACCATAATTTTGAGCTAGAGGAGGGTGAAAAGTGCCATCATTGTAGCCTGTGCATATGCTTCAGTTATTTTGTGCAAGAGAGATCTCAGGACTGGTGGGAGCATATTGTGACGGGCTTTAACGAGAAGCAGTGGGTCCCAAATTTTAAGCCAACCTTTGATATGTTGTGTCAACGTTTGTCCACATTCCTTTCCTACGACGACACACGTTTCGCCGGGCCATCCGTCCCTTTGCAGATGTGCGTTGCAGTTGCTCTCGTCATTAAACTGCGGATACTTCACCTCAGAAATTCCGATCTGCCTGTTTACATGAGTCACATTGGCACATTATTTATTAACATATGAGCAAGGCCTGAAACCGATCTCGAAATTTCCGAATGCATGCGTTTTTTTCCCTGTTTTCCCTGTCGGCGTTCGTAGATCGTCTGGTAGAGACTATTTTTTAAAGATGGCTTCTTCCTGTATTCACGAAGTTGACTGTATGTATAAAATATCTTCTTATTAAACTGTATGGACACTGCTTCGCTTTGAATGTAGAGACCCTTATTATGCTGTCCTGTTAGTGTGGGGCTATTTTGAGCCTTGTTAGTGGTAATAACAAGCAATTTTTATTTGTCATTACTCTATGCCCTATATACTAGCGTTATACTAGCATTATAGGCTAAACTGTTTTTAGAAATAAAAATATTTACATTCGGCAATCATGAAAACAAATCTCAGATAACGTTTGACTAGGTAACAATGTGTAAAGGTTCATTTTGCACCAGAGTTCTCCTTTAATAACTCTTTTAGTAATAAGCACGTCCTGCATTTTATTTTCTCATTCATGCATATATATTTTTTTTGTGTGCAAACCAAAACATCAGACACAAGTGCCTTACTTACAAAGGACATACGCAACATTTTTATTAATATAGCCCATAATAGACTACTTTATTTACAATAAAACATTACATTATACTGTGCACAAGGCCTATTTAATCCCACTTTTTAAAATCGATTTGTTTTTATGCATCAATGCAGAATCGTTCACAACAGCATTGTGATTGATCATCAAAAATGATTATATTGCACAGATCCATACAATAGACATGAACAGAAGCAAAATGTCCAAAATGTGCTCTCAATTGTTCAAGCCACTTGACACAATGATACATGTGTCATTACTATTCCATTACTACTCTACCGGTGCAGCATTCAGGTCTAACAATCTGCTTTGAACAAAAAGAAATTGCACAGAATTGCATAATGTTTCTTATGTTATACGGTTTCTTAAATTATACCGTTTTTTTCACGGTTTTTAATGTACCACTGAAATGTTTGAACTTTTTTTTCTATTTGTCTTTCATGTACAGACCATCAATACTGTGTCTGAGGTCATACGTGGATCTGAAGTGAATCAGGACTACTTCGCCTCTGTTAACGCACCCTCCAATCCACCCAGGTCTGCTTTGTCCTTTGTACTGTTTTTGAAACAATCTAAGTATTTTCTGGTAAAGAGTTGAGAATGTGAAGTTGTTGGCTGTTTTCTTCAGGCCTGCAATTGTGGTTCTTCTAATGTCAATGGTGAATGAGAGACAGCCGTTTGTTCTCCGCTGTGCTGTACTTTACTGCTTCCAATGCTTCCTGTACAAGAACCATAAAGGACAAGGGGAGATTGTAGCCACACTGCTGCCCTCCACTATAGATGGTAAGGGTTGCCCAGACTAGTCGCTTAGTTATGCCACTGGTTGGTGCAGACTGTTCATGGATCATATGACTTCAGTTGCACTTATTTTATACATGGTGACAGCAGGAAGACAATTTTTCTGTTCAGAAATTGTGACGCAGTTTAACAATTCAAATAAAACCTAGGCACATTATTATAATTATTATTTTTCATACATATTTTTTGCCATATATTTACGCACCAGCACTTTGGACATCTGAGTAGGGTAACTAATTTGATTATTGATTTGTTGCATCTGTTAGTGTTTAATGCCTTTGGCACAGCGCATTTCCTCAGCGCATAACTTACATTTTATGGTTATATCCTCATCTGTAAATGTTAGAAGTTCCAGCAAGTATTTCCATTTTGTATATTCTGACAACAAGCATTGTTAAACTTCACAGACTTCAATGAACGTACACATCAAACGGATGGAGCAAAGTAGAATAGGAGCGCAATAATTCTGACTAAAATATACATTTTACTAAAAAGAGAAAATGTTAGAAATTATGTGGCTTTAAAAAATATACATCTAACACAAGTAATCATATTTATGAGAACAGTAACAGTAAAGGCACTAATGTTGGAATAGCCCATTAGTGATATCCTATGGTCATACAAGTGAATGTGTTCCTCGTAGTTAATATTTTGTGCCTTTTTTTTTTTTTTTTTAATTTTGGCTTTAAAATACTAAGCAATCAGTTGTTTTTAGGTTTAAAATGTAGTTTTTTGCTTATAATGTACAGCATAGCCCACATAAAGACATTCACTATATATGGTTTCATAGGCTTTATATTACACATTTTTTGGAGGACAGCATTGGGCAGGATAAGGAATAATATTGTTTAAACTAATGGATAATGTTTAATGATTAATGAATCGGTAAAGTAATCAACAGATTATACTTTAATATTGTTTTCTTGTCTCTGTCCTTCAGCTAACTCTATCTCAGCGGGACAGCTGTTATGTGGAGGTCTGTTCTCAGCAGACTCTCTGTCAAACTGGTGTGCCGCTGTGGCTCTGGCTCATGCGCTGCAGGATAACCTCACCCAGAAAGAGCAGCTACTGCGGGTACAGTTGGCCACCAGTCTGGGCAAGCCACCCGTTTCCCTTCTGCAGCAGTGCACCAACATCCTGTCCCAGGTACCCATTCTCAAACTTATAATGTGTGTTTAATCAACATTTTGGGTTTAATTGGGGTCATTAATGATAGTCAGTGCTATTAAACTTTTCAGAGTTTTTATTGTTTTGCCTCAGTAATTCTACCATATCTGTCTTTTTGGACACTGTCTGTTTAAAAGACGAGGATATGTTGTGTTTTGGCTGCTGGTAGGGGTGTGCGATAGGTATGATATAATTAACCAATATCATACAAGTAAGTATAAAATCATTATCACTATATTTAAAAAATTAAGTTATATTTTAGACACCATATTGTCCGTTTTGTTCTTTTTCTTGAACTGGTGTGTCTCCGAGCTATACACAGTGGTGTTTTGTTCCTAAATAAATGAGCTTTTTTCCTTTCCGAATCGACAAATGAACGAATGACTCAATAAATTGGTCATAAAGAGAGTCAGAAAATGTTCAGAATTAGATATAATTTTCTGTCAATATCACACACCCCTAGTTGCTGATCTACTCCATGGGGTGTTGATTTGCTAGTTTATTCTCAGGCTAAACATCAAGACCAAATTTTTCAACCAGCAGCATGGCTTTCCACCCACTATACCAGCACCAAACCAGCATAAACCAGCCTCGTCCATCTTAAAAGTTCTAGTCTAGTCTAAGCTGTTTATTCAACAGTTCTAGGCTAGGTTTCCCAAGATTTGGGACACTCTGAACTCGTATGGGAATGGTAGCTTGTGGTTGTCACTGAATATCAAAGTGAACTGTGATGTGGTTTTTGCAGGGTGATAAGCTTGACCGGAGGGTGAGTATCTGAGCGTGGACAATTTAATGTGATGGTGTGGCTTGGCCTCATTTCCACAATGGGGGTTCATTAGGTGTTTTGTGTTCCTTCTGTTTGCTGTGTCTGCCCTGTTTGTTGTGTTCCCTTACTGACCCTGGCAGCCCTGGCTTTGACCGTTTGATTTTCAACTGCTGGCTGCATGCTATGGTCTTTCGGGCTTATTCTGGAAGAGACAGAAGTTTCGGACTATGTGAAATCTGTTACTGTTATTCACCCCTTTCAGGTGGCTGCTAAGTCCAATGAGTTTATGACTAAATATTCACTCAACTAGAGATGCACCGATAAAAATTTTTATTTTATTTTTTGGCCGATACTGATTTTAACAAACAACTATTGGCCAATTCCGATACAGTATTCACCACTAAGATATTACATTAAGATTTACTAGATAGTTTATTATTGCGTAAAATAATTTCTTTTGAACGTGGATTGAATCCATTTAACAATAAACATGCCAACATCAGTGCATAAATACAACAGAACAGAATGTTGGTGTAGCTGGCAACTTTGTTTAAAAAAATGCTGGTGGTGAAAGAGTTAACTCAAAGCAGCCTAATATTCCTGCTATGCTGCTGTCTAAGAGCTGCACAGATCCAATATACTGGTACTCTAGCGTTTTAGACAGAACCGACTAGGTTCTAGGATACTCGCCAAGACAGGCATTTAGTGTGAATTCGAAGAAGTGAAAGAGAACTCGATGAAGTATAAGATCAGCTTTCCCAGCACGTGCTTTGGATGTATGCGCACACAAAACTTCTCAAACATTAAGTAGAATTGAGTTCTCTTTGGCATCATCTTGCACTTGAATATTTAAATTTGCAAGGCTTAAAAGCATGTGGAAAGGATACTTTTTTTTATGAAAATGCAGCACTGGCCTGATGGCAGTCCTTATTGTCAACCCCTGCTGTATTTTATACAGATTTCATTTTGTTTTGGCAAGTATTTAATTATTTTACCCAAAGAAAAATTGATTATGCAACAGACGATATACAACGTAATTAATAAGCCATCTGTTTGTTATATCGAACTCTTTCTACAGCCGATATGCAGATTGTTTTAAATTGATAAAAAATCATCCGATACAACGGTGCATCTCTTCTCAGAACTATTCCTGATTGCTTTTTCTGCTGCCCAGTACTTTCCTGTTTTGCTTTTTGCAAATTGTTTTTATGCACATGTTAGTTATCTTGTTGATAATTATCTTGTTGAAAAGTTACTTTTAAATTTCCAATATGCCTTTTTTTAACCCCTAAAACTAACAGTTCATATAAGCTAGCCCTTACAGACGCTGATGTTGTTAAATAAAACCCTCTCCATAGTGTTTGAATGGAAACTTTCATAGTCCCTTTTGAACGCCATATTATAACCACTTTGTAATATAGAATACCTTTCAGAAGTGAACTTTTTTGATAGAAAGTAATACTTTCATTAATCAAGGATGCATTCCAATTGATCAGTAATGGCAGTAAAGACTTTTATGATGTTATAAAAGTTTCAAAGTCAAATAATTGCTGTTCTTAATAAAATAAAATAAGTATCATGGTTCTGACAAAAAATATGCAGAACAGCTGCAATGTTTTAAATTGTAATATTTTACAATATCACTGTTATTAAAGGCAGCCTTCATGAGCATAACATACTACTTCTTTTTAAAACATACTTTTGAAGGGAGTGTAAGTTACACAAGCGTTGTTCACACTGTTTAGGCTGAAAAATAGTGTCATGTAGTGTGCTGCGAGTACTTGGCTGTTGTAGCTCTTCAAAAATACAAAGTGTGGCATTTTAAACACTATGCAGTCAGTGGTTAACTTTCTTCAAGAAGTGGAGAGGCTAGTACAAGTATTAATAGCAACACATCATGTATATTTGAAAAAAAAAATGTAATTAAAAACTTCTAAAATGTATACACTATATGGTAGAGTTGATGCATAGTGCGTAGTATAATTAGTATATTAAGATTGTCTTTGTATTTAGACCACATTTTACATTGAGACTTCAGATTTTGTGTTTGTTGCAATCATCCTGATGGCATTTTATCCTAAAAAAATAACTTTTCCTATTAACTATTAACTATGACTGTATTAACTATAAATGCCGAATTACTGCTTATTAATAGTTAGTAAGGTAGTTGTTAAGTTAAGGTATTGGGTAGGATTAAAGCCCAATTTATACTTCTGCGTCGAACTCATGCCGTAGCTACGCCGTAGGCTGTGTGTAGTGGGCATACCCTGACGCGCACCTCCCCAAAAATGTAACAACGCATCAATTCTACGCATACCGCAAGCGCTGTGATTGGTCTGCTAGAACCACGGGTTTCACATGCTCCCTCTGCATGTGTAATTGCGTGTCAACGCGGACAATGACGCAGAAGTATAAATGAAAACAAACGGGTAATATATAGCGTAGAGGCTCGGCCGTAGGTCCAACGCAGAAGTATAAATCAGCCTTAAGGAATGTCGAATATCATCCAGAGTAAGGCATTGATCTGTGCTTCATAAGTACTAATAAACAGCCAATATTCAAGTAATATGCATGCAAATAAGCACCTAGGTAATAGTGAGAATTGAACTCTAAACTAAAGTGTTTCCTCTGGTTTTTAGGCCAGATTTTGTCTCAGATCCAGCAGCACAAAGACCGGGCAAATTTGAAATCAAAACTAGTTCTAACAAATAGCACACCATTTGTTTTTCTTTCGCTCATAGATTTTGAATAGAATTTGCCAACAAACATTTTTTAAGTTAAGTTTTTATTTATTATCTGTAGACTATTTAGAGGAAAATCCTTTGGTCACAAACATCTTATGTAAGATCAGATAAGATTGATTGCAAGCAAAACAGGTCAAAACAAGTTCTGACTGAAAGCAACCATCTGCAATTGTGCTATTTATTGTATTTCTGCAGAAATTAGCAAATATGATTTGGAGAAACTTGGAAATACTGTCTAAAAGGACTTAATGTACATTTTACAATGTTAAATGACTTGTTTCTTGCAGTAGTTTCTTTATCAATTTATTTGCTCATTTCTTCCATGTTAAAGTTGTACGTTAGCTCAATATAAATGTGTATGGCAGTATGAGTGTTTGATCAAGACTGTATAATTGTGTTTTTTTTCTGTGTTCAGGGCAGTAGGGTGCAGACGAAGGTCGGTCTCCTCATGTTGCTCTGCACCTGGATTAGTAACTGTCCTATCGCTGTCATGCACTTCCTGCACAATCAAGACAATGTTCCCTTTGTATCCTTTTATCCATACATACACACACATACCTGATTTATATAGTTGACATACACACAAACATTGTATAACTAATCTAGTTGTATTGGTACAGTGATGATAAAAAGTTTGAAACTTGGTTAATGATTCACAGAGCGACTTTATTTTTATCTATGTTTTACTCTGTATGGAAGGGTAGTTCTGATCGCAGCTTTGTATGCATTAAATTACATCACAGCAACCACATTACATTACCAGTATTTTCAGATTAGAGTACAGCAAGTGTAAACTTGTCTGTGGTGTGTATGGCTCATGTCATTTTGAGTACAGTTACCTGTTTGTCAGATACTGTTTTGTGTTTCCTTAAATTATGTGATCAGCTGACAGGTCAAATTTCAGAAAACCTGGGTGAGGATGAGCGACTGGTTCAGGGTCTGTGTGCTCTGTTGTTGGGGATTTGTATCTACTATAATGACAACAGCTTAGAGAATTACACCAAGTATGTTCTTAATTTATGCATATTTTCTATTTCCACTCATGCTTTCTTTTGTTCATATTTCTTGGTTTTATAACTAAAGCTGTCAGCTGATTTAAAATTTTCCACGACTAAACTGTTTGATAATTAAAGTGCACATAAATAAATTGTATTCAATAGATTAACACCTCACACGTGTAAGAGTTGGTTTTGACAATTTGTGAATAGAATAGAACAGCATAGCCAGGCTCTCTCTCTCTCTCTCTTTTTTTTTTTTTTTTTGCTGAAGCTTTTAGAAAGCAGATTGAAAACAAAAAGTATTCCTATAATGTGTTCAGCTTTGCTATCACAGGAATAAATACAACTTTAAAATAGAAAAGATATATATTTTTTATTTCATAAATTAACATATTACAATTGACAGCTCATTTTATACCAATTCCCCCAGTACCCTCGTTAAGTGTTGCAGTCATTAAACATACACTATCTCTCAATGTTACACAAAATATATTTTCCTCTTCACAGAGAAAAGCTGAAGCAGTTGATTGAGAAGCGCATAGGGAAGGAAAACTTTGTGGAGAAGTTGGGCTTTATAACCAAACATGAACTGTATTCCCGTGCTGCTCAGAAACCTCAGCCAGCCTTTTCCACCCCAGAACACATGCTGTTTGATCATGAGTTCACCAAACTTGTTAAAGAGTTAGAAGGTTAGTTTTGGAGTCATGAACACAAACTAAGACCTCTTTTCCTTTGTTATTAACATCTGTCAGTGATCCAGTCACAAGTGCACGCACGGTCATAAATTCAGGTGTAAATGGGATTCAGACATTTTTTTGAAATGTAGTCCCTCAAACCACCAGGGGTGCATAGCCATTCTAATGTGTCCTGTCCAACATTAAAGGTTCACCTACTAATGTACATAATCTTAATGAAAAAAACAAGGGCTTTAATCTTTACTGGCGAGGCTCAGCTTTAATAGAAAGCAATCGCCTGATCAAAATGTTTCAGATTAGAAGTTACTGGATACAGATGTTAATAACTTGCATTTCTCACAATGAGAAGTAATGACTGCATCCTTAAGAAACTGTGTTTTTAATATTATTGCATTTTTTTTCTTACTCTGAAGTCCACTGTTTATTCTTTGCACCAAAAATATGTTCATTCATTATTTTCTTCCATGCTCCCTCTGTTCCTCCGAATTAAATGGTCCTTTTTTTCTCTGCCTTAAAGAAGTGCTATGTGAATTTGATAGCTCATATGATCCATTTAGGTTCAGGTAAATGGTTTATTTTTCATGTTTGCGGTTTTTGTTGTTCATAGGAATGATAACAAAAGCAGTGCTTAAGTCAAGCGAGGAAGAAAAAAAGGAAGAAGAGGTGAAGAAAACACTAGAACAGCATGACAGCATTGTCACCCAGTACAAAGAGTTGATCAGAGAACAGGTAAAAAAATATATATATATATTATATTATACTGCATCAATCTATATCACATTCTCACATTTGTCAGAATACAATGTTTCAAACTAATCCCAGTGATATGTTAAGTTATATGGTGTATATAAAAAAGTATTAATTTGCCTTGGGCTATTCATGGGGTAACAACAGTTTACATACTTCATCAGTCGATTTTATATGAAAATCATAAGAAAAAGAATATTATCCCAGGCCCCAGCGGAGAACACCAAAAACAGAGACAATTTTATTATTTTTATAAGATTAACTTTTTTATAAGAATAATTTCAGTAACCAGACAGTTTCTGGTCTCATTGACTTCCAAGTCAATGAGACCAGAAACTGTCTGGTTACTGAAATTCTTCTAAATATCAGAAAATCGGCTGAATGGATTCGAAAATGGTAAAACTCAACTGTTTAACTCTGGGGGAGTTCTAAAATGAGCCTATTTCCAAAAAAAAAAAAAAAAAGTGGAGTATCCCTTTAATATTTATATGTTGTAGCCCAGCCAAAGCATCTTATTATTATTTTATTTATTTATTTATTTATTTTTTGTGAAAGAATCCCTTCAAGCTTAAAGTGAAAAAAAAAGTAACTTGATAAAAAAAATCTAACAAGAAGAATAGACTAACAGATTTTGTTTTGGGCTTTTTTTAGAGCTGTAATTGCTGCCATAGGTAGCCCTACTGGATCTTAATCCAGAGAAGTAAATCCGCATGCACTTTGGTTTGAAATGTGGGCAATAATTGACATATGAATAACATATTTAATAAATTACCAAAGAAAAGTGGGTTGTCTCTTCCTTTTTCCTCTGTAGGCTTACAGGAAGAGAAATAATTTCAAAATAGGCATATGTTTATATTATAAATAAATTTCTATTTCTCCTATGTTTTATCCCCTTTAAATTGCAGGATTCTCAAATAAATGAGCTGAAGGAGCAAGTGACACTGCTGGCGTCCCAGAATGAAAAGATGCAGAGCACCATGACACAGCAGCTGTCTCAGATTCAGCAGCACAAAGACCAGTATAACATCCTCAAACTTAAACTAGGTACTGAGCAAATGCTGCCTTCACGCCATGTCGAAATGATCTGATGTTATACACCAATTCTGCAGTGCTAACATGGTACAAGTCGTAGCTCTCAGAAAATTCTGAGTTTATATTCTGAGTAAGGGGAGGCAGTGGCGCTCAGTGGTTCATGTGAGTTGTCTACAAACCGAAAGGTTGGTGGTTCAATCCTCGGTTCCACCTGACCAAGTGTCGATGGTATCCATGAGCAAGACACCTAACCCCAGCTGCTCCCGACGAGCTGGATGGGGCCTTGCATGGCTGACACCGCCGTCGGTGTATGAATGTGTGTGTGAATGGGTGAATGCGAGGCAAATGTAAAGCGCTTTGGTGGCCATTAGGTCTATGAAGGCGCTATATAAAAGCAGTCCATTTACCATTTTACCATTTTTTTTATATGTGTGATTACAAGTTCTACAAGCACATGAAGGCTTTTTACTGTTCACAATGGGCTATATGCACGCATAAGTTCCGCATTTGACGCAAGGATGCTCGTCCATTTCCGGTTGTGGAGATTTAAGCGGAGGAGAACCGAGGAAAACGGGATTATGGCAGAGTCTTCAAAATTTACTGTCCTCCCGTCTTTGAAACGAAACGTACATACGTTTAGATGTAATTTTATATATAGTTATTTTTATTTAATATAATTTTAAAAAGAAGCATAAACACAACGAGGGGTGTCTGTTTTATCTGTTTTTGTGACTAACGTTTCTTTATTATAACCGTGGAGTATAAAATTCAATATAAATTCTCGGTATTGCATTGGACTCTACGATCGGCGGAAGTTATTGAGCATCCTTAATCCTTCACCGGAAATACCGCCGTGCATAGAGCCCATTGTTACAGCATTTTCGACATGGTGTGAACGCACCTAGATACCAGTTGTTTGAGAAGTATTTGCAGTATTTTAGTAGAAATCCATAGTAAATGACTTTTCTGTAGGTAAAGACAATCAGCAGACAGGAAATCAGGCAGAGGCGGCCCATGTGAACGGACTCCAGCCAGAGGAGCTGAGCCAGCTCAGAGAACAGCTTGAGGAACTGCAAAAACAAAACCAGCTGCTACAGACACAGCTGGGTGAAAAGGACTCTCTAATAACCAGTCTGGTATGTGTGTGTGTTCACTTCTTCCAAATGCCCAAAATGGCAGGGTTGACGATAATGATTTTTCGATTTTAGTTGATTTTGGTCGAACGATATCGATTCTTAAAACCCAAGAATCGATCTTTCAGTATATGATGATGTTTTTCAATTGATGCTTGAACAAAACTTCACTAAACACCGCTAGTCCCATCTAGGGTGTCGCAATATGCCGGTGTTGACGATAATCGTGATATTCAAAGCATGAAATGTCGTCGTGTTAATTTAGAGTGTGGCAATATACCGGTATTGACGATAACCACAATGTTTAAAATGAATAGGACTGTTATGATAACATGACACGTAAATGCTACCTGGTTGACCTCTCTGTAGCTCGCCTGTGCGGGAGTTCTACGACTCAAAACAAAACAGGAGTTTAAAAGAGGTCGCAGCGTCACACACCAGACGAGAAGCGCAGCATCACGTCTTTAAAATTCGAACACAACGGCACAGGACCTTGTTCAAAATCCTGCCGCGACACAGAGTGCCATTTACATAGTTTTATATAAAATTTACATTATATTTGTCTCAAATCATTGTAAATGACTTCACCCTGTGCTGCAAAATACATTTAGTTTTACGTTCATTTAAAGGAATCAGCTGCTTGAATGAAAATTGCTGATGTTCAGGTGAAATTCTCAATACATTCAGTTAATGGATGGATTTTTTTTTTTTTTTTTTTAAATCTGCTATCTGCATGACCCGGCCCGGCCCAACAATAGGTTTAAGAGCTTTCTTTTCAGTTCTTCAGGAAACATTCAGTGTTTTGCTTTATTTTGAAACCAGATAAACTTCAAATGCGTGTCTTCCAAACCCGTAATTGAAAGAAAAAAAAAATTATAGAAAAAAAATCCAGTAAAAATTTTATTACGAAATGCACTAGAGAGGACCATTTAATATATGCACATATATCTAAGTCTATCCACTGTCAAGTCAAATCATGTTTCAAAGCAGCTTTACAGTGATTAACAGGAAAATATTTTACTTCATAAAAAAATATTTTAGTTCAGTTATTTACATATTTTTACTTCAATATTCCTGTTCTTTAATAATAATGTATCTTTGAAATTAAAAATTATTATTGTTATAGAAAGCAACTTAAGTGTAATTTTAAATGTCTGTATACAAATCAGTTGTTAATTTTAACCTTTAGTATTATAGTATTGTACTATCTGATAGGGTTCCCTGAATAGGTTTACAGCATTGGTCAAGAGATATTTTTTTACTCAAGAGAAATTGATGTACTGTACTGTGTGTGTATATACTGTGTGTATATATATATATATATATATATATATATATATATATATATGTGTAAATATATATATATATTAGTGCTGTCAAACAATCGTCATTCACTCAAAAACGAAACGTTAACCAACTATTTGGCCGGCTCGCAAGCCCAAACAAGTGTGTGCGGCGTGCCTGTTGTTTTGTTTGCGGTCTAGCTAGATCCGCTTGCGCTTTGGTCGACGAAGTAACAAAAAATGCATGCCGCATCCTGTTGCATGTGAAATGTGAAAGCATGTGAAAGAAAACTACAAAGTTTGCTTGGCCAAAAAGACTGTTAATCGCGTGATAAAAAATTTGGCGCTGTTAAAATGGGTTTGCGTTAACGCTGTTAATAACGCGTTTAACTGACAGCCTTAATATATATCCCTAATTAGTATGCTAATATCTTAGCCTTTTACGGTAAAATTTACACTACCATTCAAAAGTTTGGGGTTATAAAAGTTTGGCCTTTTTGAAATGAATCTCTCATGCTCACCAAGGCTGACTTTAAAATATATATATATATATATATATATATACACACACAGTAACAGTAATATTTTGGATTATTATTACAATTTAAAGAGCTGTTATTTGATGAATACAAAGCTGTTGGTGCAAATTAATTTGAATACAGACTTTTCTGGTATATTCTGGTGGTAGAACTGTGCTGGTATATTTGGAAATATTTGGTCTGTGTCCAACAGAAAGCTGAGGGTGTCCCATCAGCAGAGGGCTCAACTTCAGAGGTCACAGTGTTACAAAGGGTAAAGTGCCACTGTTTCTCTTCATTATATTCATTAAAGATTTCCTCACATAACATTCTGCACCTGCTAAAACAAACACTTTGAACACTATGTTTGGCTGCAGGAGGTGGAGTTGCTGAAAACTCAGCTGCAGAGGCAGACTGCAGAGATAACACAATTACAGAGTGAAAGACAGGAGCTTCTCAGAGGATCTGATACTACAGTAAGTGTGTTCCACTCATTGATCATTGTACAGACACTACAGTCCAGTGTGCTATTGTCTCAGTCTTAGATGGCATCCGCACAGACCGTCTTTGAACCGTCTGTTGCATCATTATTATTTTTTATTTATTAGTTTATTTGTCAGGGACAATGCAGCGCACATTATTACATACATAATTGCAATAGGCAAAGCCATAACAAAATGTGTAAATGTGTTGCATAAAAGGTTTCTAGCCAATAGGCTAATTTGCAACCCCAGTCCCTGTTCAGGCCTTTCTAAAAAAAGAAAACGCATTCCTAAAACATAGCGTCCATTACACAATCATGTATCAAATACATTATAAAAACTAACACTGACCTTTTGCACAATCCTGACCACAATAACCTTGGTGACAATCTTAATTCAATCTTAAATTCAATCTTAATTCAATCTTAAAATCGCAAGATCCACAGTGAGTCAGCCAGGGCGGTTTTTATCCAATGGGGGAGTGAGTAAAATTCATGATTCTATCTTCTAAATATTCTCAAATTGCAAAAATCGATTTTCTAAATGTTAGGTAATAACGTAATGTTACCAGAATTGAAAAGGTGGAGGTCAACTGCGAGATAAGTCCAGAGCCCACACAGTTTAGAAAGTGCACACCTCATAAAGGTTATTATTTACAATAATATCATAAATATTGTTTTAACAATGATCCTTCAGAAATCATTTTAATATGCTGATTTGGTTTTCAAGAAACATGTATTATTGTTATCAGTGTTGAAAACACTGCCTGATGTTTTTGTGGAAACTTATACTTTTATTCAGGATTCTTTGATGAGAACATATTTTTCAAAAGATTTTTGCAGCATTTATTTAAAATAGTAATATATTTAGTATGAAATTAAAAGTCTTTACTGTTGATGTACTTTTGATGTTGAAAATAGTCTTAAAGGATTAGTTCACTTTTGAAAAAACTTTTCCTGATAATTTACTCACCCCCATGTCATCCAAGATGTCCATGTCTTTCTTTCCTCAGTCGAAAAGAAATTAAGGTTTTTGATGAAAACATTCCAGGATTTTTCTCCTTATAATGGACTTCCATGGGAACCAGGTCCAACTGAGGTCCAAACGACAGTTAATAACAGTTTCAGATGCAGCTTCAAATGTCTTTAAACGACACCAGACGATGAATAAGGGTCTTATCATGCGAAACGATCGGTTATTTCAAAACTTATTTCAAAACTTATTCCAAAAATGTAACTTTTTTTAGCATTGTAAAGGACAAATGCTAGCCTTGCTCTATTCTGTGAGGCGCGTTTGTAACGTCACGTAATACGTAATTACGTTCAAAAGGTCACGGGCGACGTAGCCGGAAGTACAGAGTCAGAGTGTTTACAAGTTGAACGCATAGGTTGAACGTGAAAACTAACTCAAACGCCGTTTACAAAAAAGGAATTAAAAGGTAAAACAACGATGTCGGACGATTTTGATTCCGTACTTCCGGCTACGTCGCCCGTGACCTTTTGAACGTAATTACGTATTACGTGACGTTGCAAACGTGCCTCACAGTAAATTACAAGGCTAGCATTTGTCCTTAGAAAAGTTACATTTTTGGAATAAGTTTTGAAATAACCGATCGTTTCGCATGATAAGACCCTTATTCATCGTTTGGTGTCATTTAAAGACATTTGAAGCTGCATCTGAAACTGTTATTAACTGTCGTTTGGACCTCGGTTGGACCTGGTTCCCATTGAAGTCCATTATAAGGAGAAAAATCCTGGAATGTTTTCATCAAAAACCTTAATTTCTTTTCGACTGAGGAAAGAAAGACATGGACATCTTGGATGACATGGGGGTGAGTAAATTATCAGCAAAAGTTTTTTCAAAAGTGAACTAATCCTTTAATTTCTCTCAAATATATATCTTTTAAATGGTAGTGAATGGGCTTTTTAGGTCATTACTGTCTTTCTTTCAGGCTGCAGTTCCAGGAGAAAATAGTCTCTACACAGAGAAAATTGCAGAGTTAGAGAGCAGGCTCTCTGCTCAGACAGCAGAGAATCAAAAGCTTAAGGTGACTTACTATAGACAAACATCATTTACTCGTTTACTGATTTGCATTTTACCTCATTTGCTGTTTAACCTAATTCTTGCTCCTTTTTTATGTCCCTGTCACTCTTTCAGGATGAAGTCAAAACTCTTCAGGAGAGTCAAGAATCGATGGAGAAAGACCTTGCTTCAGCCACAAGCACAGCCGCCATCATGCAGGCAGAGAAGAGCAAGTTGCAGCAGGAGGTGCAGGAGTCCAAGAAGGAGCAGGACGATCTTCTCATGCTACTCGCCGACCAGGACCAGAAGATACTGAGCCTGAAACAGAGACTCAAGGACTTGGGAGAAACGGTACATTCCTCACGGCACTCCAGAACATAGTTTCACTAGCTTTGTATTCATCAAATGTGGTTTTGTGGTGTACTTGGGCCGGTTTCCACAGAACACATTTTTGCTATTAAAGAGCCCCTATCATAGCATTTGAAATGTTCCTATTTTTGTTTTAGGAGTTCCCAAAAACAGTTTAACATGCATGCAAGGATAAAACACTTTATTTGTGTTATAATATGCATTTATTTTTAACTGATTTGCTCACCGACTCCCAAATGATTCGTACAACGACTCATTTTTCCAAACCACTCCTTTGCGTGATGCTAATCGGCGGTGATAGGGGATTATCACGCTTCTGGGTTTCATGGGCGGGATTTGTCAATTTTGTGCATGTCCACTTCCGACGCAGTTCAACACTGTAAATCTAACCAACAACGCCAACCCTACTGAAGTTTTCATGGATTCCCGACTGAATTGAGTATAAGGAAGAAGTGGATTAAAAGAGTAATTTACCAGGGATGCCGTATAAATAAACTTGGTGTAGTCCTTCATCAGTTCGCCAGCGAGATCGGTGATTCAACGGAAGTGGCAGTGCACAAAGATCACAGAATCCGGAAGTATACGTATCAGCATGATAATCCCCTATTGGTCAGATGACAGACCCAGTCAGTTATTGTTTGTTAGCATAACGCATAAACATATCGATAAAGCACTGCAGTACTACAAGACGATCTATTCTTTATGACAACTCCAATAACAGCGACAAACATTTCACATATTTAAAAAAAAATGACATTGGAGACGTAGAAGCTGCGCTGAGCGTAACTTACACACACACACGCGCGCACACACATAGTTATTGCGACTTCCCTCCTCGCACCCGATGCTACAAAACCGTTCAAAACCCATAAAAGCAACAATTATTAATAATACTTACAGGTTTTGATTCATAGGAGGACGCTGATCCATATACGCTGAGTAAGTAAGTTACTGAGCCTTCCTTCAGGAACAACCGCTTGCGAATCCACATTTGAATTCATTTATGTTTTTGAACGATTCGTAATTAAAATGATGAAAACACAATCGGGCTATACTGTTGTGGTATTGTTGCAAATATGAACTCTAACCACCGATTCTTCACATGCTCGTCCCTGGTAAATGGAAACAAAGTGGCTGAACTATCTTTGCATTGTAGAACACAGCGTCTTCTCGACATGATGCTATGATGCAGTATTTGAATGTGTAGACTTCAAGTTTACACTTCTGTCTGCGCGCGCAGTAACTAGGCACGGCCAATGACCTCTCTAAGTCACGATGTAACAGCTAATGACTCGTTTCAAAAACAATTCATTTCATAGACTCAGAGTCGACTCTCACTTTTGAACTTTAAATACGGTGCACTTTCAGATATAAATCTTTGCAGGATGTTTTCATTCCCTTAGAGCTATATTCCACACCATATGAACAGTCATTTTCAAAAATCCATGATAGGGGCTCTTTAAAATACGAGACGCAGGTCAGTGGAGTGGGGAAAAAAAGCACAAGGTCTAGAGAAGTGTTTTTTAAATTTGAACTTTTAACTTGAGCTCCACATTTTAGATTGCCACGTCACGTGCAAGATACTGTGTAAGACGTGAGACTCGAGTGGAAAGGTTAAAGACTACTCTCTTTAAACAATAGGAAAGTAGCACAGTGGAATGGAAAAGCTTGTTCTATGTGAACGGCCCCTTTTTGATTTGACTTTTTTTTTTTCCTACAGATTGAAGATGAGGATGATCTGGATTCAAAGGATCAGTTTGATGATGATGATGATGAAGAGGAGGAAGAAGAGTGTGATGAATAAAAAAAGTATTGACTTAATAGTGGAAGTGAAAGACTGCTAACATTAAATTGTCACTTACGCTTAGAGAAAGAGATTGAAGGCCTTGGACAGTAGAGCTGATCTTCTGATTTTTAGAAGATTCACATATTTCTTTACTTTCCTCAGACCTGCATTTTTAATTTTTAGAATGTATTTCACTGTAGGAAAACAATACAAGGATTATATTTTCCCACCAAATTGAACCGGATTTCATTTAAAAAAAAGTTTCAAATTTATTGAAATAATAAACACAGGTGAATACTTTGTTTTTGATCAACATTCCCAATGCTTATGTCATGGTCTCACACCGTAGAAGATTCTAAAGAGCTCTTTGCACTAATAATGGAGAGGAGAAAATAAAGAAAAGATTTGCTCCTGCTTTGTTTTATATAGTGAAGATGTTCGGTCTGCGTTTCTATACTGCTTGAGGGCTTGTGAGAGCATCTTCATGATGGATGGATTCTGAAAGACATGTCTGCTCTGCTCAGGTGCATAGTGAACTCTGTTTAACATCTCATTCAAATGGTCTATTTCCTCTTTTGCATTAGATTGCTTCTTCCTGGTTAGATGGCTGTTATGCGTTTGTTTGTTTGTTTTTTGCCTGCATGTCAACAGTTTTCAGTTCAGTCATCCAATCATATTTACAAATGATCAAACACCAAGCCATGTTGCATTGCGTTCATACTAGCCACCTTGTTTCCAATGTGTTGTTCATCAAAACACTGCTGCAGCCTCACTAAATGTTGGGATGTACACTTTCAGGTTCCTCTATATTCTGCTAAATTTGGTTTAGCCTTAGGTTAATTTATGGTCAAACAAGACTCATTAGAATAAACTATATAAATACTTGTCTGTCATGTTTTGGCCTTAAACCTAGTTTTTAATTCAAGTATTTGATTGGTGTGTTGTTACATATACAGCCATATTTGAGGATTCATAAAGATTTTTCTACTGCTAATAACCATAAATATAATTATGCCATAAAGTGCAGGGTCATTCTTGATTTAATTTGAAGTGTCTGAGGAATTGTTTAACAATTAATTATAAATTCTAAAGGAAGGCATTTAATTTTATTACAAATCACAATAGATATTTTTTCTCCAAAGCAGCTTTACAGACTTAATATCTCATGGGAATTTGCCAAAGGTAAAATGAAGAAAAAAAGAGCTGAAGTAAAAACAACAATTGTGTGTTTGCACACTGAAATCTGGAGAATGTTATCTTTTAGTCTTTTCATTCATCTCAATGACTCTTCATTGGAGTGGGACAATGGAGGAAAATCCTATAATATGATTAAATATATTCTATTTGTACACTACAGTTCAAACATTTGGAATCAGATAATTTTGTGTTTTGGAAAGAAATGTATTTTTTCTGGTCAAGGTAGCAGAGTTTAAATTCTAAGTTAAAATAATTTAAATGTGTAATAATGTAAAAAAAAACATCTTCTATTAAAATCTGTATATTTTAACAATGTTACCTGTGATGGCAAAGCCCTATTTTCATCAAGCAGGCCTGTGAGAGAAGTGGGTGACCCTGATGCACAACAAGTATATCAAGTCTCTCAAGAGTTGTTCAAATGCATGTGCCTGTGACAATGTTTTTTATGAATGAGTCCCATTTACTCACTGAATAGATTATCGGTCTGTCATAGGCCTGGGACAATGTCCCTATAGCTCTACAAAAAAATTCATTTTGAATAGAAGTATTAGTTTATAACTTTATATATTTCTTTATTGTGATTTCTGATCAATTTAGTGATCCCAAACTTAAGAACAGTGCTGTTTCTAAATAGAATACAATAGACTGATTTTAATAGATGTCAATTAAGAAAGATTGGAATCAAATGGATTTGTACTCACTTTGTTGCTGTAAGAATCAATAAATGTAGTATTAAACAAGTTAAAATGATTCCAGCCCTTAGTTGCAGATATTACCTGAATATTTAAAACACACTTTGTCCACTGGACCATTCATTTATGTGTATATTATTTATTGTTAATGTACATTTAAACATTTATCCCACACATTTAATTTATTAATTTCATTTTGTCCTAAATATAGTTGGTCCTCCTATGAATCACTGTGGGGTGGGAGGAGGGGACAGTGTTCTCAGACAGACTGACACAGGTTATATGGGTGGATTATATCATCTCATCATCTCTCCACCCTTTCACTCCACCGCAGCGCCGCCCCACGCCCATAGACATCGACAAAACGGGACGAGGGCTGATAGAGCCAAAACAGTATGAAAATAGGCGGGGCTCATTACGAGGAAGTAATTTCTAACTGGACAAGGACCAATTTGTCCAAAAATAAAATATATATTTTTTGAACTCTTAACAATATCTTTAAAATAAATGGCTACTCAAATTTTCAGGAGCATTTTTAATTAGGGGAAATTATTGTCCAGACAAATGTTGAGTAACTTATTGTCAGCGATGTCACGTGGCATATGTTACTTTACACTCCGTAGTAGATGCTAGACCAATCCTAGTCGTTCTCGATTACTTTTATTTCATCAATTTATTGAGATTCCTAACAGTTATTTCAATTTGTTCCACTGGTAATTGTTCCATTGGAATTTATACATTTAAATGATTATACACTGTAGTGTATAAATACATCCAATAAAACAAACAGCGTCTTGGGATTTGAATAGACCTCAATGGCGCGTGAGTCTGACTGAGCGCCTAAGCGCCTCTTTAGGAGGACACGGCTGTGTCACACAGTGAACGGTAACAGATGCTCGCGGATGCTCACACCTCACCTCAAACACTGCGGCATCGATGGACCGCTCATCCTATAATCTCCCACTCTCTCTCACACACACACACACACACACACACACACACACTCTCTGACACATTTCTGCGAGAGAGTTTAAAAAGACGAGGATCCAGTGACCGTGGGTAATACAATTCTCTTCATACTGCATGCCCATCACAAAGGTAAGAAAACTCATATTTGCACTTATAGTAGTTTTCTCTATTTTGTGTAAATGTTCAAGGCAGTGTCATTTTATGTCATTTTATTTTGTTTGACGGTATATAGTGACTTAATACCATGATTTTGGTTAATATTATTACAACATAATTATTTTCCAGTTAATTGATTATTCTACTGTATAACTGTATAACGCTTTTTTATGTTTTTTTTTATACATTGTTTTCTTGTACCCATTATCTCATCCGTATTCATTTTAGAACACTTTAGCACTTTAACACAATTCCTAGCTAAATATACAGCAATTATTTCACAGTATTTATTCATCTTTGCTTACGTTAATAAAATACAACTTCGTCGTTGGTTCATGCGAGCTCGGGTCCATTAAATAGTATTTAAAAAAAATCTAATTTTGATTTTAATAATATCATGCCTCTTAGCAAATTTTGAAATCAACATTAAATAGCCTATTAATAAATGCTTTCGAATTAGTTTTGATTGTTAGTGGATGTTAATGATCTAATTGCAACAAATGCAACCTTACTGTAGTTTACCTTTATTTTATTGTGTTTATTATGTGTTTAGACACTTCCACAACTCTTAGCTGAACTCAGACTTTACTTTTAATGTATTTGTTTTGGAATTGCTTTCAATCAATGCACATGAAAAAAATGTTCACCAAAAATTAAAATAGTCAACATTTACTCACCCTCTTGTAGTTCCAAACATTTTTTTACAGTCCCAAACCTGAATGACTCTCGTTCTTCTGCAGAACTCAAAATAAGATATTTTGAAGAATGTCGCTAACCAGTTTTGATGACCATTGGCTTCCGTTGTAACATTTTTATTGATAAACAATGACAGAATTTTCAATTTTGGGTAAAGTGTGCAATTTATGTTAGAACCACAACCACAATTTTGACATCCAAATTGCTCTTTTCTTCAAAGAAGCAACCTGCAAATGTATTCTGTAGGCCCAATATCCTCTTCAAAATGCTAATATAAAAACAAATCTTATAAAACACTTCTGTCAGACAACTAGTGTCTTGTTTTAATTTTTAAAGACTTGTCTTTCACATGTTTCATGTAAATGGAGGAAATGTCGTGGTTGGAGTACTGTGTGAGACTCAGATGAGGCCAGGTAAAGAAAGACAGTTCATGAGGGTTGCCAGGTGTCAAAGTCCTGAGGGTGAGACATCTCAAAGGGAGGTGTGGTCGTGTTCAGACATGCCTCTGAGTCTTGTGTGCTTCTGCATTCTGGGTCTACCTGGACACAGATTCACTCTGGCTCTTCTGTCCAGGATTTATTCTCATTCAGTGATAATTCACAGCATAGACTGAAAAGCTAGATTTTCAGAATTGTTGGCTGATATTATGCTGGTTGACAATAAACACTGAAACAAACTATTTATATAGAACAGTGCCAGTAAGAAGACTTGACTCTCTCTCACATGTAATGGGTGCTGCAGTGATGATGTATTTTTGTAGGCCAAATTGAAGTTAGAATCACCCTGGATCCCTTGGGGGAAAGAACAGTAGAAACAGTAGGATTTTTGTAGTTATTTTTCATCATGATAATCTTAATAACTGAACGCTATTAAAATTTGAAGTCTATACAATTGGCAAAAGTCAAATCTAAATGTCTATAAACAAACTACACCACTCTTTATGGTGTAAAAGTTGAAGTTAGAGCACCATTATATGTGAGGCTGTGAAATTGGACTAGTGAGTAGATGAGTTCACCTGTTTAATGTCCCAACTTTTAACCAGATACATTTAGCTTAGCAAATGTATTTTTCTAGACAAGTAAAAGCTTTAAAAAATTCACAAAAATATGTAATCCCTGCAGCACAATTGTATACAATCATATTGCTCTAGCTGAAACAGCGAAACCTTTCTTCCGTATGATGTATACATCTGAGTGTAATGGATTATCAAATAAACAAAAAATAAAGCAGGGTTTTGGACTAAATGAGCGGACTAAATGATTGCTGAAGTCCTGCATACATCACTAGAGAGAAATCATAATGTTGTTGTTTTTTTTCGATCCAGTCATGATATATTTTGATTTTTCAGGGTCAAAAAATGTGAACCATCATTCACAATAAGATCGATAAACCTGGATTTCATGCCGACTTTAAGACAGTTCATTTTACTTAATATTTTTTAATATTTTTAATATTTACTTAATACTTAATAATTTTTAATTAATATTTTGAGAGAACAAGGTTATGAATAAAAACTATGAATTTCTGTGATTTTCTTTAAAAGACATCTAAGGGGGGCGTTTACACATATTCAACTAAAAAGGAAAACGTTTCATTTACATAAGGGCCTGAAAAAGCACACTTTTGAAAATGGGTTTCAAAGTGTACGTTGTTAAAATTGAGTTTTGAAAACGGTGAACTCTGCTGAAATACCACATTAGCACTGTCTTGACCTGGCAGGAAATCCTCAGGGACTATCTATCTTTTGGTAAAATTAGAAGCTTTCTGATGGAAACGCACACCCATCTATTGATTTAGTTTTTTTAGAATGGCTGTTCATCACACAGTTGTCGAGTTGTTGAGAAAAGAAACGAGGCAAAATAGGTGCATCAGTAATTGAACGCTGAACAATTGAAATACAGTTATACTACTCTCTCTATACTATTTGAATCGATCAGTTTAATGCAAAACATCTCATTCATCCAATAAGTTGATGTCAAAAAAGTACACAATTCTTGTTGGACAATGTGTTAATAAGCTAAGTAATCTTTATTTTCTTTATTTCATCGTTTACACAGTTGAATGAAGTGATCTTGGCCTCTGTGCAGAAAATGTAGACTCATGGTCCTCAACCATTAACACACAAACCTCAATGACAGTTAACAAACACCATAAAGAAAAAAACAGCAATCTAAATCAAGTCA